AAGACAGTAAGAAGCAAGTGGGTTACTGAGTAATACAGAACATGATAAAATACTATTAAGAGGATGGAACATTAACAGAACAGGAATTAAGAAGACAGAAGATAACGATTAGAATTGCATTTAATTTTTGGAAATCATAGTTGAATGTGATGCAAGAAGCCGGAAAAGTGGTCCACAAGCGAGAAGTTGAAGGAAGGACACTGTAGACATAAAAGTTACAGTTACATCTAGACATTTCAACGGCAAAACAATGAGACCTTCCCGCCAATCTAGTACTCCGTTTAAATTAACAAATTGTATATACCATAGAAGAATGTTCATCAGAACAATTACCATGAAAGTACTTATAAAGAAAAACAAAGGGAAGCTTCCTTATTTACATTATTCGGACTATTGTCCTCATCTCTTTCACCATATCTATTACAACGTTCCGGCCGTTGTACACTCCAGCCTTCTTCAGGTGGTTGGAATGTCAAACTGAACCCTTTATTTCGCTCACTGTGGTAGAGTTTTTCACGTGTCATGTTTAATGGATGTCAGTTATCAGTTATCTCCTGTTAAATCCCGTTTCCAAGTTCTCCACTGCCTTAACCGGGTATTGAACTCACACTCTTTGGTTCCTGTCACGATCTAACCAACGCCTTTATCTACTCTGCCACGTGTCCTCAAGGAGGGGAGAATTAACAGGAGATAACTGATAACTGGCATCCATTATACATGACACGTGGAACTAGAACAGTCTACCCCAGTGAGCGAAATAAAGGGTTCAGTTCGACATTCCAACCACCTGAAGAAGGCTGGAGCGTACAACGGCCGAAACGTTGTAATAAATATGGCGACAAAAATGAGGACAATAGTCCGAATAATGTAAATAGTGTACCTAATACCTCATCTCAGAAATATAGATAGATACTGAAGGGATGCTACGTTACGTCGGTGGTAAAATATCTGAAGCCGAGATGCCAGGTCAGTATCAATAATATTGAATATTCTTCTTTGCATTTTATCAAGAACCCCTAAGTATATAACAGGAGAACCAGACCAGATGAGTCAGAAATATTCAAATCAAGGACGAATGACAGACTTATTAATATGTAGGATATTAATTACCCCATTTAACAACAGACTGTTGGTCATTTTTTAGATCAACTACCAATTTGACCTTATTGAACTAATCATACTTACAATTGAGACAGGAGTAAATGGTAGTCGTTATCAGAGATACGAAGTTGAGAAACAATGTCATCAGGAAAGTCATTGATGAAAATTAAGAACAAAGTAGGTCCAAGGATAGAGCCCTGGGGAATACGTGCATTCGTACAAAAAGATCTAGAAGAGTGGGCGCACAGGACAACATTCATTTTGCTATTTGATAAGAAAGATTGAATCCGTTTAAAAATTCGTCCAGAAATACCATAACCTTTCAACTTGTGAAGAAGTCCCAAATGGCAATACGCTTTCAATATATCCAAAGCAACAACACGAGATACACCAGTTCAGTACGCTCCGGCCTTCTTCAGGTGGTTGGAATGTCGAACTGAACCCTTTATTTTGCTCACTGGTATACACTGTTCTAGTTCCACGTGCCATGTCTAATGTATGTCAGTTATCAGTTATCTCCTGTTAATTCTCCTCTCTAAGTTCACCACTGCCATAACCAGGTATTGAACTCACATTCTTTGGGTCCTGTCACTGGATCTAACTAACGCCTTTATCCACTGTGTCATGTGTCCTTGAGAAAGAAGGCCAGAGCGTACAACGGTCGAAACGTTGTAATAAATATGGCGACAGAGATGAGGACAATAGTCCAAATAATGTAAATAGTGTTCACCAGTCTTATCTAAAGCTTGCTAGACTCTTTCAGCAATCATCGTTAGTACACCGTCAGTTGACCTAGAGAGGCGAAAGCCATATTGATTGTTTGAATAAAGGCGCTATTATGTGAGATGCTTAACCAATTAAGAATTGAAAAAAAAAGAGAGTTAGAAGTTCTAATAGGCCGATAGCTCAAAGGGTTGGCCGGTTCTTAAATTATGGAACAACAGAAGAGGAATTCCAAAAAGCAGAAAAGCATGACACAAGGATGCATTTCTGTACAGTTTAGAGAGAACAGGAGCCAGTTTGGGATTATATTGCTTAAAGACCGTCATAGGGATACCACCAGGTTTACATGCCTTCGGGGGATCCAGCTTAGAAATGATAGCCAAAAGCTTGGAAGGTCTTGTATGCATATCACTCAACAGAAACTCAGTTCTAAGTGGAAAGTCAGGCAAGGCTAATCCAGATTAGTCTCAGGTAGAGGAGGAGAATTTATAGGCAAAATCATCTGCTTTATCAACAGATGTTAACACATAAAATTGAGTGAAAAGAATGGAAATAAAAAGCGTACACTTATTTAATACACTATTACAGAGCCTCCAGTAGCCACGAGAGCCAAAGTTTTCAGAGGCTATACGGTGCCTCATTCTATCAAACTTAGCTCCTTCGAGGATACGTTTACATTTTTGACGTGCAGCTACGAATAGGGGTCTGTTGTGATGAGAACTGTCATGTTGGTATAGCCGGAAATAGTGCTGTTGAACAGGGCGGTGTGAACAATGAAGATTTTGATTTTACCTGATATTTCTGAGAAAGCACAAAATCTTTGATGCCACAAAGAAACCTCAGTGGCACACTTCTCAATAGGAAGGTTAACAATATCAATCCAAGAAGTCTCTCGAAGAAAGTCGCGAAGTGAATCCCAATAAGTGGCTTATGCTAATTAACCCATAGCTGGGAGGAGAACAGGTGAATCCAAACTTTTCCCAGGGGTATTTGCGTGTAACTAAATATAAGGAACACTACTGGAATTGAAACTTGGTTCTCCGATTAACAATTCCGTCCCATTATTCATCAAACGACCCACACATCCAATCTTACAGCACCTGGTATTCCCAAGCGATCAGTCATCTATACTGTCCAGTGTCGGCATTGCTTAACTTTGGTGATCGAACGAGAACCGTTGTTTTAACGTGATGCGGCCGTAAGCCTATGTATGTGTGTGGGTGATGGGTGGGGTGGGGTTCTAAGTGCATCTGTGTTTCCTAAGATTAATAGTACTTAATATGTCCTGAAACGTTTGTGGGTCATTCAGTAAAGATCGTACTCACTCTACGTTAATAAAAGTCGACTAATTGACTGGCTAATTACTGATTGTTACTCCACGAGGTGACGCCTAAATGAAATCTTATTTCGAACGCAAGTCCGCAACTGTACTAATGTCCCCTTAGACGACACCGCTGGCCATGACGATGGATAAGTACAAAGTTCCAATTCTCAAAATGTTCACAAGATTAAAATGCCATTTGTCAACTTCCACGGACAGGTCCGGTGGAGATTCAAGTCAAACGAAGCTTAATGACATGAAACATTATTGTCATTTCATTCGCGTTGTTTTAGATCAGATTGTCTGAGAAAATATATCTATTATTTAGCATCCGTCAGGTAAGGTGTTTTTTTTTTCCGGCCTGCGATGACTTTCGACGCTAATTACTAAAGATTTATGAACGTAATTTATATGAAACTAGTATTTGGAATAAGTCTCCGTGTCTCAAGTAATGAAAGAAAGCTCTTGGAACACGAAATTGTTAGTCGTTCCTAACACTGTTTTAAAGAACAATTCAGTTCATGGTACAGCACCTCCCAGTGCAATACCGCTAGCCACCACCTTCATAAATTTAAAGTTACTGCCATTGCTCATTATCGCCACAACTATTTTATGACTGATGTCACTGCAATTAAATTTGCTGTTATGACCGCAATAATTATCCCACGAGGATCTGTGTGGAGATGAATGCGTTTGTTGATATGGAAATTGGAATCAGTGAACCAAGTTCAAAATCCGGTCTCGTATATTGCATTCATTTTCGCACTAATTCGCTTAGGAAAAGGCATAAAACTATTCTTTCTCCTCACTCTATCTATGGGTTAAAATGCAGTGCGGGCTGGGCTCTCTCTCTTGATATCTAACCAACTCCGCTATCTTTCCAAAGAACCCATGCCAATTTAAAAATAATAAAGTAAAGGAACTTGTGGAGAGTCATATTCTCCTAACTCCTGAAGAGACATCACATGTTAACAAGATAAATCCAATGCGCTTTTATTTTGCTATCATTTAATTTCATTACGTTTCGATTGCGTCAATACTTGCCGGGGGGGGTTATATTTTACCGTATATACTCGTGTATAAGTCGATTTTTAGTATAGTACTACCGCTGATTTTTTTGCATGAATTTAACCACTCCAAAAAAAATTACCTGTATACTGCAACCGGTCACCGAAAATGCAGGATGTTTGTCTGGCGACCTCCTAATACAGCTTTTTCAGAGAAAGAATTTGATGCCAACAATCAAACATTGCGGCGGCAGTATTATGAATTGGGATGATTTGCTGCAGTTGGTACAAACAAAATTGTGTGTATTGACGGGATAATGGATTTTGCAAGATACCAAGCAATTTTGAAGGAATGTGTCATCCCTCGGTACGAAAGTTGGGTTTATGTCGGGACTGTTTTTTCCAACAGAACGATGATTTAAAGCATTAAAGCAAATCCCAAAGTATTGCTTCGAAAACAGAAATTTCAAGTCTTGAATTGGCAGAGTCAAAGTCCTGATCTAAACTGAAAATTTATGGTTCAAGTCAAAGAAGGCATGACATGCAACAAATTCATGTAAAATCAAGTAATTGTTGGAGATTTGCCAATATAATAAAAAAATTAACTATGTATTGTGGGAACCATTATTATTTTTCTTAAAAGCCTGATTATAAAACTCGACCTATACACGAGTTTATGCGTTATCTGAAACCGATTATCGGAGTTGGTTAGCTGTGGCAAATCCTGAGTCTGACGAAACCAATGAAAAAAAAAGCCAATCCCTGTGATTATTTTTATTACTAGTTTTACAACTCTTATTATTATTATCGTTTTTTATGAAAACATTCTAAACCATTAAAGGCTTACTGCCATGTCATGTTGAAAGACCTGTTCTCATACGATCACCGAGGTTAAGCAAAGTCGAACCTGGTCAGTACTTACATGGGTGATCGCTTAGGAATACCAGGTGCTGTAAGCTTCGATGTCCAACTGGTATAATGAATAATGGTTCGGAATTGCAATTCGGAGAGCCGAGTTCCAATTTCAGTCGGGTACGTTATATTTACTTACGCGCAAATACTCTTGAGAAAGGTAGGAATCCAAAACCACCCTCACCCCGATGTGGTTTAATTACGAAAACTTGTACCAGTAAAAATCATGATCATCTCCCAAAACTCATACCATCTAAAATGTTTTCTGTCGAAGAGATCGAAGAGCAATCTACGAAACAGCTACTGTCTATACCTATATAAAAGTATTGTGGTGTCTTCCCTCTAAAGAGTTTATGTTGAACTCTTTTGTCTACTATTAGTAGGAGAGGAGGCCTTGGGGAAACTGTTCTTCACTGTCGAACCCTTTGCCTTGAGCAGAGAGAAACCCGGACGAGGCTTTGCCGAAGGGCAAAGTTTCGTCCGGTGTGGTAGACAGATCCCGAACCCGTTTATGCGGGTTCTAAGAGAAATTTTGGCCGAGCCTACGGGCTCGGAGAACCCACGGTAAACTTGGCCTTGTATCACATACATCTCTCGCGGGGAGGGGCTGTTAAATATAACAGATCTGTTCGGCTGTGCTGATCAAACTCTCTACCTCGGCCTTGTGCCTCATCCTACCCCGTGGAGAGGCTGGTAAATATTAACAGTCGAATAGATCTGGTCTGTGCTGATCAAACTCTTTGCCTCCCGGCAAAGAGGATCCCCAGACCAGGCTATGTCGAAGGGTAGTGTCCCGTCTCAGAAAAGAGCCACACGTAAAAAACGGGGTCTACGGGGAATTTTTGGTCGAGTCTACGGTCTCAGATTGACCCACATCAAACTCGGCCTTGTGCTACATCCTACCTCGTGGGGAGGCTGGTAAATATCAACAGTCGAATAGGTTGAACGCTGGTCAACTGATACACACTCACTAGTCGTGTATTACTCTTCTGTTGTATGTACTGTTTAATATATGATATATCTGTAACCCTTGATTTGTAATTTCTTAAACCATTAAGTTGCTCACAACAAAAGATCATTTCAGGAATGCTTCCCTCAATAGAAACGACGTTGGATAAAATGAATGAAAAGGCTAAAGGTAATCTGTTTTACTATTTAACCCATAACTGGAGAAGCATAAATTAATCCATTTTTTCCAACATCACTAGAGCGAAGTGAACGAAAGAGAAACGGTCTGATTTGAATTCGGCACATCGATTCCATTTTTCGCGCCGATAAATCTGACTCTGTCCGCTCACACCTAACTGTCTAATATGGGTACCTACTAAACTGAGATTAGTAAGGCACGAGATCAAATAATAGAAGGAAATGCAAGGAAGAAGATCCTTCAGAAGAGGATTACTTTGAAGGAGATTAAATGTCGAATTCATATGTATTGTAGTTTTCTTTTTATAGCACTAGTCTCGATTCTTTTAGTTTAGTCCGAATTTGAAATCAAGAAACGACCTTAGAATGTTACAATCATAAAGTTGCTTTCTTTGGTTGGGAATTACTTGCAATACTGTTGAACTAGCGAGAGATGCAGCCGCCATTTCTATTCTAATAGCTTCTTTTCTCTCACTTCTCGTCTATGGAACCCCTTCCAAATTTCATGCTTCCTTACCACCCACAATCCTCAAAAATCTAAATGCAACTCCATTCGCCATCTTCTGTCTTGCTGCATTCTGTTCTTGTATTGTCCTTTCTTCCCACTAAAATTTCTCATTTACTTTCACTCCCTGTAACCCACGCATTCTAGTGGCATTGTCGCTTTGTTTGGGGTGAAATGATTAAAAAAAATCTTACAAATCATATTCTATAAAATGCCGACTACAGGTATGATGTAATGAATATGGATACACCTGTATTCCCACTCACAGGAATATGATTGGCTGGTGTCAGCCATAAATACAGGCTTATTTAGGCGTACAGGAGGACGCTCATTGGACTACGCCATTGGCTATCCTATTGGTCTACGCCTTTTTTCCTACACCTATTGACTGCTACTTGGATGAGTACCAGTTCCATTACTGCTACCTGCTAGATTGTTCTACTTGGTTACAGTAGCCTAAACCACTTAGCTACTTCGATCAAATATCTCCCTTTCCGGGATATATCAAGGTATTTAATAATTGATTGTCTGCCATAAGCCTACGCATGCGATTTGTGCATATACTTACAAGTCTGATCAGTTTTCTAACAAGAATGTTTACAGTTGTTTAGAACCGTGTTTTCTTTCCAAGATAAATAACATTGTGTCTGATTAAAAATATTACCACCAAACATTTAGCCAACAATTTTACAGTCTTGCGTTTTAATTTCACACACGTGGGTCGTACACAGAAAGAATTATCAAATGCACGCGTGTGTCAGCGTGATTCTGTGTGTGGCATTGCCAGTTTTTTTTGTTTTTTTGTTTTTTGTTTTTTTTTTCTCGTAAGAGATGTAGTTCCGAAGTGGCGGTATGTGGGCTGAATTGGTAATGAGCACGTCTGACAGAACACAAAGTGGTTGCTTATTAAGGCGGATAGGGAGGTTGACATTTGTAAAGCCGTTATTGTTTTGCATTATTTCCATAAGGTCTCCAGCAACGATGCTGACTTCTTATTCGATACGACAAACACAGACAAATCAACCATCTCGCCCACACAGATATGCGTCAGTTTTATCAATGCTTCCTCACGTACAAAAAAAAAAGAATGCGTTCATTAGATAGATAGATAGATAGATAGATAGATAGATAACCTTTTACGCAGTCGAGCTTATTATGATGCGAATCCACAAACGTAGGTAGGATGCCCAAGATAACCGAACTTGCTGCAAATTAGCAGTAGTTTGAGGAAGTTGTTACTAACAATCAGATTGATTTGGTTTTTACGGTTTATCAACCCTTTGTGGGCTATTTAAAGGCAGAAAATATTTTTAGATGTTAATATTTGGGGGTTGGCGGGTAGATATTAATGATTTAATAATACACGTCTTACTAATTAACCCATAGCTGGGGGAGAAGAGGTTGAGATATAGTTTTCTCGGGGGCATTTGAAAGTAATTAAATATAACGACTGGAATTGAAACTCGGCTCTCTGATATCAAATTCTGGCTCGTTATCCATTACACCAACAGCACATTTATACTTACAGCACCTGGTATTCCCAGGTGGTCACCCATGTAGGTACCGACCAAGCTCGATGTTGCTTAACTTCGGAGATCATCCGTGAACCGGTGTTTTAATGTGATATCGCGGTAAGTTATGCATTCATGAATACGGTGCTTTAGACTGTATTTAATTGAAGTTTGCTATTTTACGGTTTATCAACCCTTTGCAGGTTATTTAAAGCCAGAAAATGTTTTTAGATTCTAAGAATTTTTTTTAGATAATAATGGTTTTAGTAAGAGAAGATTTACTAATTAACCTATAGCTGGGGGAGAATATATGAATTCATACATTTCCCAAGAGTAATTGAGATTAAATGAACATAACGAAACCACCGGATTTTGAAAACAGCTCTCCGATAAATAATTCCGAGACATTATCCATTACACCAGCCGAAAGAACGAGATCATGACTGCACCAATCACTGCCATTAGAATACATGACAATCTCGGCTACAAGGCAGGATAGTTTTTTTTATTGTCTAGGTTGTTTATGGTGCATTCGACTTTGCCATTACTGACAGACCAAGTAATATTGTTATGGGAGAATGGTTTGCTTTCGTCACTATCAAATGTTGTGACATGTGACGGGATTTCTATCACATATGGAGAAAGGACGTGGCATAGGAAAAGTGGTTTTATATCTTTCACACGAGCATCAATAAGAAGTAAGCATACAAACTTCTTACACAGAATTCGAACTCAGCTCGCTGATTGTATTTACATTCTTATTAACATTTTCACAGATTTTTAACACACTCTCACTCTCTCTCTCTCTCTCTCTCTCTCGTATGTATATGTGTGTGTGCGTGAGTGTGTGTGTGTATTTCTGATTGTATTGCAGTGTGAAAATGGCAGTTACCCTGTAGAGTTGATTCCTATGTCGATACGATATATGTCTGTGTATATAGCAAAGTTTACCCCCATATATATATATATATATATATATATATATATCAAATAAGTGGTGCAGTTCAATTTATATTACAATGAATCGTCCATACAAAAGGTAGATTAGTAAAGTCAATGATACAAAATGGCGAAATCATTTCGCGAACAGAATTTTAAAGTTGCATTAACCTACTAATCACTCGATGAATGTTATGATCCTTGTTTTTAAAAATTTTAAGCTGTATAATAAGGTCTTTCTTTAATACGCAAGTACTTTGAACGGTATATTCAGTCATTTTCAGGCATGGAAATTATTTTGTTTTTAGTAAAATTCAGGTAGCATCCGAGACGAAAAAAATAAATGGGAATCGAAATATGTTTTTTTTAAATGTAGTATAGTTAACAAATACAAACTTTTTGGTCATTTTTATATCATTATCTTTACTAATCTACTTTTTTTTCGTATGAATGATTCATTATATATATATATATATATATATATATATATATATATATATATATATATATATATATATATATGAATTGGGATCAAATAAGAAAACGGAATCTGAGAAAATGATAGGATAAAAACAAATAGGAAAACATTTTTTTAAATAACGTGTTTCGCTTTTATTAAAGCTTCATCCGTGAATGGGATATAGAAAAAGTATTTTCTATTTTTTTTTTTGTGTCTTTGATTTTTATTGGTTAAGCAGATTTCACGTGTATTTGACTTATCACACACACTCACACACAAATATATATATATATATATATATATATATATATATATATATATATATATATAATCAAATTAAACCATATAATAATTACCAATGTGTATTTATCTATATATTTCCTGTGTATTTATTTATATATTTCTTGTTTCATTTAGTCGGAAGGGAGGTAAATCAACTTCAGTTAGTAAATTTATGAATGATTACTTACCTTAGTTGTTTCAATAATCTATACACATAAAATAAATATTTATTTCTATCTGGACGAAATAATTTCCCGAGATAAATGAACTGTTTAATAATCAGTTCATTTACTCCTACGTTTCTTAGATTGCAGTCTTATTTGTTCAAGCCTTTCACGTGAGTCACTCAGATACCTTTGTCTATTAAATTTTTAACATGAAAAGATATTGAGCAAAAAGCGATTTATATGATACCAGGAGTAATCAATGTATAAATAGGTAACATTGAATATTATAAAGGGAACGGATTTATTAAACGGTTCATTTGGCGTCTATTTTAGTTGGGAATTTTTTATCTCTGCTTTTCTGAATCTCAATACATTGTTTGAAGATTTTGTCACATAGTCTCTCGTTAGTAGAACTGTCTACGAATTTCTGTTTCTTTTGAAGGTACTGTACACTCGCATGTTCATAGTGATTTTCCAAGCGTTGCTTGGATGTGGAACAATGCCGATAATAAGAGGCACCCAGGGAGAATCGAACTCACTGCTCAGTCGTATTTGTTCTAGCGAGACAAGTTTGCTAACCATTAAACTACCTTAAGGTGCCCCACGTGCATGTTTATAAAAACAGATGTTTTCTCGTCATAAGTTATATTCCCGAGGAAATAATTCGGTTGTTTTCTTGGGATTGAAAATATTTTTTTTTTACCATTTTTATTATTCCGTAAATTTATTTTTGCTGATTAACTTCCTTTTTTTTTATTTTGAACACAGCTGCTTTAGAAGTTAGGCAAAACTTTCGGCCAAGTAACAGTTCATTCTGACTTTCTCCGATTCAGGCTGTTATCCAGTATTTCGATGTAACTCCCTGGTTGCCTTTAAATTAAAAACTTCTCACTTACCCATGATTATCCCTCACTACTCCCGCTCATGAACAGAGGTACTCAGAGCGTCAACCTGAGGTAGGCATACCGAACTGGTTATAGTCAAGAAACTGACAAACTAATCTGTGGTAATTATTTAATTATATTTAATTATCTCCTCGTCAAAAAAAAAAGACAGGTACATGTTAAGACCTCCAAGCAAGTTCAGAATCTATGACTGGGCTAGATGTTACTGCATTCCCTTCATTTCCATTCCTTCCAGATTTTTTCTCCGATTCCTTTATATCAATTCCCAGTGCTCTGATAATGTCTGGGAATACCAGCACCCTCATGTATAAGAACTTACATCTCCCTGGTAGCGTCGAGATACATATTTATCTGTTCGCTTTCTTTCAGATTTACACTTTTTGCTGAACTAACAGCCATATACATCCACACAGATGCTTATAGTATACATGCATTTATACAGGAATTTTCCACAAAGTCTTACTATTTTAGTAATGCTTCTCGCCAGATGGTTTCAATTCTTAAACTGATTTCCAATTTTTCCTTTTTTCAAACGCACCAACAATTATCTATCCAATGTTTTTTCCCATTTTATCTGAAGATCCTGATATAATTCCAGATTTTCATTGTCTTTCAATTGAACAGCGACAAATGCTGTATGACATATCTTCTTTTCTTTGTTCACGATGACATGATCTACTCTTCAATCGGTGGTAAGATCTCTGTTCTTCTTCTTCTATTATTATTATTATTGTTATTATTATTCCCTTTGATTTCTGTTGTCTACACATTTCTTTCCGGGTCCCAACCAGAGACCTAAGGTCAGAAATGGCTTAATGATATAAAAAATAAAACAACCTAAAATCACACACATTTTACATAGATAAAGCTCTTCGTAATGTGTGAACTGTACATTTGAGTACATTTTTTTTTTTTGTATTTCTTTAAGGCATGGGCTACCAGGAATCGCTTCAATGAGTCTATCAGTAACTATTCCAGTCAATCCTAGGGCTCAACTGGAATTATTCATGTCCTCACGTGCCACATTTTTTTGCTTTTTACTTAGAGATGCTTTTATTTTGATAGTTTTTTTGAAGATCTTCAAAGATACAATTACAGCCTGCAAAAACTGCCATGTCAATAACACATTATTATTATTATTATTATTATTATTATTATTATTATATGTCGTTGTTGTTGCTACTAATTTTGTTGCCTTCTTTCCTTCTTTTGAACAGACACGCATTTGTGATCTCTACTTTTGCTGCCGCCAGCTATTATTATTATTATTATTATTATTATTATTATTATTATTATTATTTATGTATGTTTCCTGCTTTGTATCCTATAAAGCCGGGTCCAAACTATGGCACTTAGGCCCTATAGGAGAATTGTTATTTAATTGATAGCACTTTTCATCGTATATGGGATGCTCCTAGTAGGGAGATCTTCTGGGCAACTTTTATGTTGATGTTACCTGGGACATTGTTATTAAAATTGTCCATTCCTTTTCTCACGTGACCCAGAGCTCCGATTACTATTAGTACAGTCGCAGTCTTCATTCCCCACATCCTGTTAACCTCGATATTATTATTATTATTATTATTTGTGTGTTATGTTTCCTGCTTTGTATCTTGTAGAGCCGGGTCCAAACTATGGTCCTTAGGCCCTATACGAGAATTGTCATTTAATTAATAGCACTTTTCTTAATATATGAGATGTTCCTAACAGGGCGATTTTCTGGGCAAATTGTACATTGATGATACCTTGGGCACGTTTAGTAAAATTGCCAATTCCTTTTCGCACAATGCCCAGGACTCCAATTACTATTGGTACAGTCTCAGTCTTCATTCCCCACGTGCTGGGAATCTCGACCTCCAGGTCCTTGTATTTGGACAATTTCTCAACAATTTTCATGGAGGTGTTTCTCTCAGATGGTACTGTTATGTCAATAAGCACACACTTCCAAAATTTCTTGTCTTTTATGATAATATCAGGTCTGTTGGCTTTTATTTCCATGTCAGTTTGAATTGGCATGTCGCAGAGGATAGTTACATCGTTATTTTGGGTAACTGTGTATGTTTCGGGTTACTATCATCTCTCTGTGGTTTCGATTTTGTGCTTCTTGCATATCTCGCTACCTTGTTGTCTCTGTGGGTATATTCATTTTTTTGCCAATTCCGGACATTCTCATTATGGTCAACATATTTTCCACAGATCCTGTATTTCGGGTTAGTTCCATCCTTAATTAAGTGACAGTGATAGAATCTGGTTGTGAGGCGTTGGTACTGAGCTGCAATAATTAGGCCTTCTGTTTCAACTTTCAACCCCGTGCTCCTCAACCACTGATGTGTTTTCTGTTGGTTTGCATCTGCTTCTTTTGTTCATTTTAGAATAGCCCAATTCGTGTAACAGCATGCAATAACTGTCTGTCACACAAAATACCACTATACTTTTTCTCAGGTTTTCAGATGAGACGTTTAGACATCTTGTCACCATGTGTCGTAAGAATCACTGAAAAATCCTTTTAGTCATTCAGCTAAAAAGAGAACAGGTTAAAATCGTTTTATGGCAGACCCACTATATCTTCCAAACTGAGCAATGGTAAGAGGAAAATGATCATTCAGGCCTTCAGTAATGGTACCAACATTCATACTTTGGCTTCCATCTTCAAAGTCCCTTCAAGAATCATAAATAGAACGATGAATAGGTTTAAAAATGAGGGAACAGTAGAGAGAAAAACTGGATCAGGAGTTCACATCAGCAAGAGGGATCATCATTTTAAGTTAGAGCTAAATACGTCTTTATTGTTCAAAGTAGAGTCCAATAGGTTTATAAAAACTCGAAGAATTCCAGTAAGATATCTTTAAGCATTTCTAAGATACAACGGTTCAAATCTTAATTTAACATTTAGACAATTTTGCTGTTACACGATTTGGGACATTTTTGCTGTTTCATCCGGTACATATACAAGTACAAATACATACACATACACATACATATAAATTATATATTATTATTATTATTATTATTTCTTTATCGAATAATAATCAAACGTTGACGAAAGAGAGTTTTGAGTAGCCAAACACGGTCGGATATGTTAATGAGTTTTCTCAAAGTTAAGGGTAAACTATTTTTTGTTCCAATAACTGGGGGGCTTACGGTCACATCATGTTGAAACACCGGTTCCCGTACGACAACCGAAGTTAAGCAACGTCAAGTCTAGTCAATACCTAGATGAGGGACCGCTTGGCAATACCAGGTGTAATAAGCTCGGATGTGCGTCTGGTATAATGAATAATGACTCGGAATTGTTAATCGGGGGGCCTAGTTTCAATTCCAGTTGGGTTTGTTATAGAGTCTGCCATGTCAGTAAGAAAACACATTCTGTTTTCGTAGTCTTTGATCATGATCTCTTGGCGATTATCTTTTCTTATTACGTTTATTATTATTATTATTATAAACTCGATCTTTTTATCATTCGCTTGCATCATTTTTTTTGCTTTTCATTCTTCTTTCCTTCATTTTCAAACCAGAAATTTCCGCTTACCATTGCTAGCGACCAAGCAGTCATCACCATCATCATCATCATCATCATCATCATCATCATTATTATTACTACTACTACTACTGTCGTGAGCTGTTAGAAATACTGACAGCCAATCATCATCATCATCATCATTATTATTACTACTACTACTACTGCTACTACTACTACTACTTCTGTCGTGAGCTGTTAGAAATACTGTGACAGCAAATCACCATCATAATCATCATTATTATTATTACTAATACTACTACTACAACTAATACTACTACTTCTGTCGTGATCTGTTAGAAATACTGTGACAGCAAATCTCCTTAAACCTCGGACTCTTTTTGCAGTGTTCTGATCGGTTTCAAAGCGCCATGTTTGGCATCGTTTCTATTTTCTTCCCTGACCAATGTTCTCTACCTTTCCAGCAGTCCAACTTTTATGGAGATAATTCACTGTCCAAGTCATATAATCGTTTCTAACACGACACACATCGACTGCCCCAACGCAGCAAACTGACTTCGACACAAATGAAAATGATTACAAGAAAAACATGTGTACAATCGTTGATTTACATTAGCGCACACACACATCAATACAAAAATAAACGTTTTCAACTGACAACCACTTCATTCATTCGTCTTGTTCTATTTTAAGTGGGAGAAAATATACTCTCGTTAATTCTACAAGATTCAACACTGGCTACATTGAAGAACATGCACTCTAGACTGAAGCCACGGACATGTGACAGTTTGATTGCAAATGGCGGAGTGTGTGTGTGTGTGTGTGCCAAAAACCTGCTCATAATGCAGCCATAAATAGATTCCTGATACAAAGAGTTTTAAGGCATATTAATGGCCTTTTAATAACTTTCCATGAGAGAGGTTTGAAGGTGGTGCAGTAGTTGTTAGCATAGAAAACTTAGTTGTCGAACCAGGTTCGAATTTCGATGTTGAGGCTGATTTATGTTAGCTTTACATTAATTCCTTTGGCCCGCGACTCTCTGCGATTTGAGTTCTAGACAAAACGCACTATCACTTGCATGTCAGCATGTATGATAGTTTGGATAAATGATCATTTTAGCCATTTATAACGATTTATTAAGAGTAGTTTAGAAATTTTGTGCAAAGCTGAAGGCACGGGGCATCGACTCGGGATCGAACTAACTACTTAGTCGTAGTTGATGCCTTAAGAAAAGTGAGCTAATCATTAAAGCATATCAAAGTGCCCAACATTGGCAATCTATATACCGAGCCAGTATCAGCAAAGAGCTCTTACACCATGTAGATATCATTGGCAAAAGTTGCTTTATTGGTGCTCATTAGATAGTAAGCGCAGTAGGAAAATCATAATGATGTCTTTACTTGGGAAGAAATAGCAGAGCCAGGATATCTACGATTAAGAAAAGGATTAGTATTAGAAAAGGATTAGGAAAACATTAGGAAAGGTATCTGCCTATATTTCTGAGATGATGTATTATGTACACTATTTACATTATTCGGAATATTGTCCTCATTTTTGTCGCCATATTTATTACAAAGTTTCGGCTGTTGTACGCTCCGGCCTTCTTCAGGTGGTTGGAATGTCGAGCTGAACCCTTTATTTCGCTCACTGGAGTAGACTGCTCTAGTTCCACGTGCCATGTTTTAATGGATGTCAGTTACCTTCTGTTAATTCCCCTCTCCAAGTTCTTCAATGCCTTAACCGGGTATTGATGTTACACTCTTTGGGTCCTGTCACTTGACCTAACCAACGCCTTTATCCACTGTGCTATGTGTCCTTGAGTGACAGTACCCAAAGAGTGTGAGTTCAATACCCGGTTAAGGCACTGGAGAACTCGGAGAGGGGAATTAACAGAAGATAACTGATAACTGACGTCCATTAAACATGGCACGTGGAAACTAGAACACTACCCCAGTGAGCGAAATAAAGGGTTCAATTTGACATTCCAACCACCTGAAGAAGGCCGTTGTAATAAATATGGCGACAAAGATTAGGAAAGGTCTATCGCCAGCTGTGAAAAAAAACTAGATAATTGTTGTTGCTCTTATTATTATTATTATTATTATTATTTTATTTTATTTCCTTTGATTTCTTTTTTACACACATTTCCTTCCTGGTCACAGAGACCTAAGGTCAGAAATGTCATTTTCCACAGAACATTTTTGTAAAAAAAATACACAACCTAAGATTACATCGATTTTACACAGATAAAGCCCTTCGTAAATTATCAGCTACACCTATGAGTACAACCTTTTTTTTTATTTCTTTAAGGTATGGTCTTTTCTAATCAGTGCGAGCGCCCTAACTACAACTGAAATTATTGATGTCCTCATGTGTCATATTTTTGAGATTTCCGCATCAAGAGTCTTGTATTTTGATAGTTTTTTTTAAAGAGCGCCATCGGTACATTACAGTCTACAGAAACTCCCATGCCAATAATACATTATTATTATTATCGCTAATATTATTATTTCTTTATCGAATGACAATCAAACGTTGACGAATTAGAGTTCTGAGCACCCGAACAGCGGCCCGAGTGAAAGCACTCGGGTCCCCACGTTAAAAAAACGACGTTGTGTCACAACCTGACTCAGTGGGGGGGTCAGGTAAATCTCCTTAAAAGCAATGATCAGTTAAACTCTATTGCTGAACATTGTCCAATGTCTAGGCTTCCGTCGCAAGAAAGCTGATGTTGGAAGAGATAATTGGACTGATGAACATTTTCATAATGTATTTGGTATTTTGTTGCCTTTATTGTCATTTTTTTTGTTGTTGTTGTTCCTGTTTTTGCTGCTGTTGTTTTTTGCTACAGTGACAGCCGTGTCGATGACGATAAAGATTGCAATGCCAGCAAAAAAATCATGTGGAGAATAATCATAAAATCAGTTGGCGCGCAAGTGCAACTTTAAATTTTCACAGAAGAAAATCAAAAAGAAAAACGTTGAAAATTATATAGTCTAACGAAAAAAAAAAAAGAAATGTCAAATGGTTGATATAATAACTGAACAGGAAGGAACGACACAATTTTTAAATGAATTGGATAACGAGAGACGATGACTGAAATCTACTAGAGTGGAGATTAGGTTTAATTTAAAATATTTTTTTTTACAATTTAAAAAATCGTAACAAAAACATTTATAATACGCTTCATCCATAATACGCACCTCTAAAATTGTGCTGAAAGTGTGGGAAAATGATTCTGTTCATGAATAATACGCATCTCTTGTTTGGTAATCAAACCCTATAAATTGTACCTCCCCAATTTCATTACGGCCAGCCTTTCCTACTCTTATTCAAACTAATTAAAGATATTTATCAAAATTTTCGATCATCACGATTCTAAAAGGAAACGGAAGTATCTATATTGTGCCTACTGCGCAGACTCATTAACCTGTTTTTGTTCGATATACATCATTGTTTATATACGTTATTATGGATGAGAGCCGTCCTGGGTATGACGATAAACTACATAATCTACCGTATCTGTATGCATTTTTTCACAAAAAAAAATTTAAATTAAATTTAGTTTTATGATAATTCTTATTTTATTTTATATTTGTAAGTATTGTTAGGTACATATGATTATATCTGACATCATTATGGGATCACAATCGCCGAATGTTAGTGTCAAATTGTCGTATGTTTGTGGTGGGTAGTCATTTCGCAACTGAAATCAACCTATGAAACGGCAATCTTTTGAAGATTCTTGTAGCTGTGCATAATATGCACCCCTGATTTTGCTAATTATCTTTTAGAAAAAGATGCGTATTATACATGGTGAATTACGGTAAGTCTGATAGGTTTGACCAAATAAAGCTTGCAGCTGCTCTCGAAAATTTCTTATAAGAATAGCGTAACACAATCTTTGTTACTCTATCACTTCACGTTGCGTTAAGTAAAACTAAATAATATCAATCCTACTTCATCTTAGAACTTTTCACAACTCCAGAAAGACTTGAAAATCTATCGGCCGAAATGTAATGGTTGAAACTTGATTAACAATGTATCTTCCAAATGTCTGCCATAATAAAAATAAAAATTTCAATGAAGATGACATACCTTATTCCCAATGTATAATACGCCTTCATCCATAATACGCATCCTTAAAGTTACACTGAAGTTGTGGGAAAATGCTTATACTCACGCATAATACGCACCCCTTATTTAGTAATCAAATCTTATAAATTGTACTTCTCCAATTTCATTACGTCCAGAGTTTTCTACTCTTATTAAAATAAAACGGTTTTAAACATAGAATAATATTATTCTAATTTAGTTTTATGATAATTCTTATTTTATTTTATATTTGTAAGTATTGTTAGGTACATACGATTGTATTTGACATCCTTATGAGGTCGCAATCGCCTAACGTTAATATTAAATTGTCATATGTTTGTAGTGAGTAGTCATTTCGCAACTGAAATCGACCGATGAAATGGCAATTTTTTTTAAATTTTTGTACCTGTGCATAATGCGCATCCCTAATTTTGCTTGTTGCATTTTAGAAAAAAAATGCGTATTATACATGTGGAATTTTTTTTAATTATAAAAAGAACTAACTTTTCCCCATTTCTAATGGAGGCGCTTTTGTTGAGGAAATGGCTGCAGTGTCTTTAATAAAAAGAATATCTTAATTCTTTCATTAGCGCGGCTTGTCTTATGATGTACTGTACCTCATGAGGCCTACTGTTAAAAAAAGGGGGGCCCATGCTTGATATAGAGGGAAACGTCGCATGCTTCTTGCTACTCTATCGCTATAGCCATGGCAAATGTTACCACTAGGTACATTCATTAGTTCCACCATCATTACTACAAACTTAACCACTTCAAGTCTAGAAACAACTGTTATCTTTTCTATAGATCCCCCACTTGTTACCTCTTTCTCTTACGCTCATACAACAACCTCATTTAGCAATATTCTACATTGCGAGGCTCTTAGGCATTTTATTGGATAATGATTAGTAAAACAAAAGTAAGTGACGCAAAACAATTATGTACATTTTTTTCATAAATGTATCAGAACATCTTGTTTTCAAAATAAAGAATGATTTGTGTGAACAGAGTGAAATAGATATGAAGAGAATGTGATAGATAGATAGATAGATAGATAGATAGATAGATAGATAGATAGATAGATAGATGTGAAGAGATAGATAGACAGATAGATATGACGAGAATGATAGATTAGATAGATAGATAGATAGATAGATATGAAGAGAATGATAGATAGATATGAAGCGAATGAAATAGATAGATATAAAGAGAATGAGATAAATATGAAGAAGAAATAGATAGATAGATAGATAGATAGATAGATAGTGACTTACTGAGATAGATATATAAATAGTGTTCTAAATCAGAGTTAGTCGATCTATCATCGGCAATATAACTGATCGCTACATTGCGTGTAGCCTTTGGTTTTCTCCCGCGCTTTTCACTCCCGGCCATCCATGGTTCCATGCTGAATTTTAAATATTTAATTTGGCTCATTTTTACAGACTAACTCTTATAGACTAATTAGACTGAATACTAATCGATGCCAACCAACTCCTTAATTTTCCCGCTGTTTTATTACCGTGTTTGTCTGTTATTTACTAAGCTTAACCTAGTTTGACACAAGGGCACAGTTGTCTGTCTATTGGTAGAAATTGATTTTGTTTTCCCTTTCTCCTTCGTCTGCCTCTCTTTATTTACCGTATCATGTTATTACATTCGGGTTATTAGTTTTTCTTTCCGTCACCTCTTGCCCACCTTTCCCCATACTGAAACTTTCGCAGAGTTGATTCCTCATAATCACGCATACATTAATGAAGGTTTTATTTACTACTCGTCACCACTATCGCTATGGCAGATGTTCGGAAGCGTTCTATCAGTTCTGGACTTCACAGCTACGACTCACCATGCCATGTTTACGGCGGCAAATATACCCATTCTCTTCGCGGCCATTTAATAACTAGTAAGTTCCACTCAGACAGCTTCTCTCTGGAATAAACTCCCAAGATGATACCTTCGTGATAAGTACAGTTTTGGTCTCTGCAAGTCCAAGATATCAGCTGATGTCTCTCCTACACGTTCTTATAATGTGCACTTCATAATTCCTCTTTCTCCGTCCATTACAACAATTTCGCTCAGTAACCCTCTAACTTGAGTGGCCCTTGGGCCTTTTATTGGGTGAAATGACAGTAAAGAAAAGAAAATATAGTCTTACGACCGCATCACGATTAAACACGGGTTCCCATACTGCTGTGGCCTTCATAGGAGCCAGAAATAAAAACACAAAGACAGGCAAAACATATACAAACGAAAGTGTTACAGCAAGAATGTTCGGTTCAATTGTCAGAGCTTACTGCTGGAAACTTCCCTCTCTAAAAGGCAGTACCTGCTCCTATTTATAGCTGTGAGAGTCTATGCGTGCGTGGGTAAATTACCATAACACATACAATCGCCGAAGTTAAGCAACGTCGAGTCTGGTCAGTACCTAGATGGGGGACCGCTTGTGAATTCCAGGTGCTGTAACCTTAGCTTTGCAGATGGTGCAATGGATAATGACTCGGAATTGTTAATCGGAGAGCCAAGTTCCAATTCCTGTTGGGTTCGTTATATTCACGCAAATACTCTTGAGAAAGCTATGAATCTACTACTTCTCCTCCAGCTATGGATTAAATAGTAAAATTTTATCACTAAACCATTATTATCTCTCATTAAAATTCTTACAAATCTAAAAATATTTTCTAGCTTTAAATAACTTGCAAAGAGTTTATAGGCCGTAGTAAACGAATCGGCCAGAATAAATTAAAAAATATATATAATTTTTCTCCTTTGTTCTCAAGTACATCTTGAAAGTCCATAAAATGTTTATTGTGTTCCAGTGATGAAATCGAACAAGAATTTTGCTCTACTTTATGGAATTGTATGTGATTAACGTCAGGGGAAATACGAGGTCTAAAAGGAAGTTAGTGTCAAGAAGAACCTTTGATCTAAGTTCAGTTGATCTATGGTGACAGCAATATGTACTTGAACCACACAAAGAGATGTCAAATTAAGCTTTGTAATCGGTTCTACATCAGAATATCAAAAGAGCTGATTACCTCAGCGGCTTCATATAGAATGTATATTCATAACCACTAAATGCAGAGACCTCTGATCGGGAGATTGGAGGTTTTCAGGCGCCTGGAATCACCTCTTAATTTCTGTTGTTCCCAGGTCAACCGTGACCCGCGGTGGTAGCATCTGTTAGGGTCCCAGCTATGGGCAAATAGTGAGCCCCCTACACAAAAATAGTATGAAAATAAATTTTAATAGTAAATATACAAATAATACATTTTTACATAAAAAAAGTCCGACCAGCGATACATTTGATCTGTAGGTGAATGCATAAAATTGCGTTCAAAATATATTTACTTGAAGCCATAAAATTGTGTTCAAATTATGTAGATTTCGGTATTAAGTAGTGGTTGATACACCGCTAAACAAAATCAACCAACCGACATCGGTCCTCAAAAACGATCGGTGGGTGCGTCGACGTAAACAGGATGTCAAGACAGTCGAAATTTGGATATACACACACAAGACAACAGGGTAACAGCTATATAAGCGCCTGATCTGAAATGAAACATTTCGTGTTCCTCTCACCCTCTCGAGGATACGATCGAACGTCCGAAGACGTCCCCAAAAAATCACACATTCCCGGCACGGCTGACATTGATTTCTCAGTGTCTAGTAAGGAAGCAACAATAATTTTACACATTGAATAATTATTTTCACATTCTTATCAAATGTTGCTAACATAATATTACAATAATATGAACCTTTGCGACATTATTATAAAACAGAAAAAAAAATAAATCATTCAAATAATCCTGGACTTGTGGATAAATGCCTGCATGCTTCTATTAGTGTTGGGTATTGGACATTTGCGTCCCGGACATTTGTGTCTTGGATATTTGCGTCCCTGGACATTTGCGTCCCGGACATTTGTGTCTTCGACATTTGCGTCCCGGACATTTGTGTCTCGGACATTTGCGTCCAGGACATTTGTTGTCTCGGACATTTGTGTCTCGGACATTTGTGTCCCCGGACATTTGTGTCTCGGACATTTGCGTCCCCGGACATTTGTGTCTTGGACATTTGCATCCCTGGACATTTGTTTCTCGGACATTTGCCTCCCGGACATTTGAGTCCTGGACATTTGTGTCTTCGACATTTGCGTTCCTGGACATTTGCGTCACGGACATTTGTGTCTCAGACATTTGTGTCTCAGACATTTGCGTCCCTGGACATTTGTATCTTGGACATTTGTGTCTCGGACATTTGTGTCTTGAACATTTGCGTCTATGGACATTTGCGTCCCGGACATTTGTGTCTTCGACATTTGCGTCCCTGGACATTTTGTGTCTCGGACATTTGCGTGTTGGACATTTTGTGTCTTGGACATTTGCATCCCTGGACATTTGTTTCTTTGACATTTGCGTCCCGGACATTTGTGTCTTGGACATTTGAGTCCTGGACATTTTGTGTCTTCGACATTTGCGTCCCTGGACATTTGCGTCACGGACATTTGTGTCTTCGACATTTGCGTTCCTGGACATTTGTGTCCCGGACATTTGTGTCTTCGACATTTGCGTCCCGGACATTTGTGTCTCGGACATTTGCGTCCAGGTTATTTGTTGTCTCGGACATTTGTGTCTCGGACATTTGTGTCCCTGGACATTTGTCTCAGACATTTGCGTCCGGACATTTGTGTCTTGGACATTTGCATCCCTGACATTTGTTTCTCGGACATTTGCGTCCCGGACATTTGAGTCCTGGACATTTGTGTCTTCGACATTTGCGTCCCTGGACATTTGGACATTTGCACGGACATTTGTGTCTCTGACATTTGTGTCTTAGACATTTGCGTCCCTGGACATTTGTATCTTGGACATTTGTGTCTTGGACATTTGTGTCTTGGACATTTGCGTCCCGGACATTTGTGTCTTCGTCATTTGCGTCCCTGGACATTTGTGTCTCGGACATTTGCGTCCCGGACATTTGTGTCTTGGACATTTGCATCCCAGGACATTTGTTTCTCGGACATTTGCGTCCCGAACATTTGTGTCTTGGACATTTGAGTCCTGGACATTTGTGTCTTCGACATTTGCCTCCCTGGACATTTGCGTCACGGACATTTGTGTCTTTGACATTTGCGTCCCTGGACATTTGCGTCCCGGACATTTGTGTCCCCGGACATTTGCGTCCAGGACATTTGTTGTCTCGGACATTTGTGTCTCGGACATTTGTGTCCCCGGACATTTGTGTCTCGGACATTTGCGTCCCGGACATTTGTGTCTTTGACATTTGCATCCCTGGACATTTGTTTCTCGGACATTTGTGTCTTGGACATTTGAGTCCTGGACATTTGTGTCTTCGACATTTGCGTCCATGGACATTTGCGTCACGGAGATTTGTGTCTCAGACATTTGTGTCTCAGACATTTGCGTCCCTGGACATTTGTATCTTGGACATTTGTGTCTCGGACATTTGTGTCTTGAACATTTGCGTCCCTGGACATTTGCGTCCCGGACATTTGTGTTTTCGACATTTGCGTCCCGGGATTAGAATACGTTGTATTGAACTACAATTTTACAATATTATTTTTACTTTTAATTACTAATAGACTATATTTCATTTTAAAACAAATAAATGTAATAGAATTACTTAATTTATTTATAATGTCAAATATGAATGTTTGTATTACTATTATTATTAAATATCAAATATAAGTATGTATATTACCACTCTTTTTTTAAAAAAATATTATTTAAGTGAAATTTGTGATTCAGTCATTTTTATAAACCTAGTAATATATAGCTTCTCATGAATACACAAAGGACATGGGTCATTTAATGACCTACATATTCTAGCTTTTCTTATCAATTTCCACTGTAGGTGTTTTATTGGTTTCATTTAAGTACCAGAAATATTTTGATAGGGACGTCTGATTTAGGTATTTATTTATCCTAAATGAACTTTGATGTTGATTGAATCTTTTCTTGAACTCATGGATTATGCATCCCATATAGACTTTGACGTTGTCTAGATCCTCGATAGATAAGATATTGCATTGGTATACTAATGATTCTGTGTGACATTTATTTTAAGAGGACATTTATTAGGATTTCTCCGTTATATAAGTTTGTTTATCTTCATCTTTTTATTTTTATACTGTCTAAATTTCTTTGGTTTTGGTCTAAGTATTTATTTAAGATATTAGCATTGTGTTCCTTAATAATTTTCTCTGAGTTTTCAGTACAGCTGTAACTTTATTTTAGGGTATATTAATTGAAAATACTACTGAGTTTACTATCTTTTGGAAAATGTTTAACGATTAATGCCCGAAATTTTTGTCCTAATTTATTCTAGAACACTTGGTTGTATGGGGGCATATACCAAATTAGTTTTTGCTTCTGTTTTTTCTATGGTTTCATTTTTTATGTAAGTTAGTTTTAGGCTTTTGTAGTCACTATCTTTAAGAGCTTTATTATAGAAATTAATATGTTCATAGAAAATATTCTCATTTGCTGAATTTGTACTTATTCTTTTTTCGATAGATAAAGTTATGCTTAATTATAGATGGAGGATGATTAGATTTAGGGTGTATATACAAAGGATTAGTATTGGGTTCTTTTTATAAATTATATATAGTTTTCATTAAATCTAATTTTATATCAAGTAAGTTCACTTTTTTCAATTTAGTACTTAGCATAAATTTTAAGTTCAGGCATTTAAACTTTCTATATATCTTTCCAATTTTATCGATTTTAAAATTAGTAGAGATCTTTATAAACATAATTCCATCGTCTCTGTATAAACCAATGTCAGTTATATTAATCTAATGGTACGCTTTTCTTTTTTTTAGTGGCATAAAAGGTCTCTGAGAACAACGTATGTTTGCCATTCCTTTTTCTTTCCAGTCATTCCCACCAGCTCCGTTCTTGAAATACAGTTTTATTATACCACGGATATAATAATGCTCACAATGGGGGAAATGAAAATGGGAGAATTCTTTCAACAGTTCTCTAATTATACTATTTATTTTAAACAGACACCTCCGTGAGACAACGTGATATGGCCATAAGCCATATGTGAGAGTGAGAGAGAGGTTCACCTCAAAATTCTAGATTACGTTTGTAGTCGACTACGTATACATACTCCAAAATTAGTTTGGATTACATATTTATATATAAGACGAGTTTACTAGGGGAGGGTAATTTATTGTGTTTCGACTACTCACCTTAATTTCCTTATATATAAATATCAAACTCAAACTGATTTTGGAGTATATAAATTTAAGCTGAATAAAACTTGACAAGGGAATCTTTCTTATTGTTTATGAAAACGATAAATTTTGTTAATAACGAAATGAAATTTTGAGACACTTTGATTGTGTTTCTGATACGACTGAGAGTAAGTGAATAAATGACAGCTATTTACTGTAATTATTAGGACGTCCTACCAAACGTCAATTGGTGTGGACTGATTACGGCATTTTTCTTCTTTTAATAGACCGCCTGTCAATTACAGATCGTAATGAAATGCTGAGAGATTGAAGAAAAAAAAAGACATAAAATAAATCAGATTGGTGCTTACAATGGGTAAATAAATTTATGGCTTGGAAGAGAAAAAAAGGAATGACGCGATCCAACTTAACAAAGAAAAGAATACAAATAAAATATGGCCGCCAGTTTCAGAAAATATTTATAAGCGTAAAAACATTAAATTTAATCATTATACAATTTCTCTGTAATCAAGCATATTCTGGATGTTGCCTGAAAACTCAATTAATTTCATTATATTTTTCACAGATGCATTTAAATTGTTGAGGGAATAAGAGGAAGAATCAATTTTAAAATCATTAAATTTTTATGCAAAATATTTTTATATTCGATCAAAAATATATTCCCAAACTCTTAAAACTTCAAGTTGCTACCAGGACAGATTTTATATTATGGTTTGAGACATTTAAAGCTACACATTGGGTTATCGCCCATGACTTAAATGTAACCTGAAAGAAATTACTTCGGACAAATTACAGTAATACGTTGGTTCCGCAGTCACCTTCTAAATCATTTATCCCCGTTGACTGACAAAAAAAATATTACTCATAGAGAGTGAAGTCAAGATTTCATACTACATCCGATTCGGACGTACTGTTCAAATACCAAAACCATTTTATTGTAGATACTTATTATTCATATATACATGATGATTGCCACACCTTGCTCTGATGAGAGCCGTCCATAACACTTTCACATCACTTGTGAGAGCCTCCATCTCGTTTCGGTGTCCTTAGTTCCTAAGCTGACTCTTAAGATCAGCAATCGGTTTCATGGCTATCGTGCATATATGATGTATAAATTCTGTGAATGGTTTGATTGGATTTGCATGCTCTGCAACTCTTTTGCGTACTACCAGGTGCCTCCTAAGCCCAGATGATGATCTGCAAAAGTTGTTGCAGACAACACAGGTTTTGTCGGCAAGATGATGAGGCAGGTTGGCATAGTTGGCTTGCTTCTATGTTGTTATGATAAACTTCCATATGTTTTACAGAACCTTCCCTCGACAGCAGCGTGAGCTCACACATAACACATTTACAAGGCTTCATATTTGTTAGCATATCAAAGTGAGTGCTTCTTCACGATTGACCTGAGCATGCCTGAGACATACATCCGCAAAGCCGTTAGGTCCTGCCCTAATAAATTGCCTGTATTCAGGACGATTTAAAGACTTAAATATATATATATATATATATATATATATATATATATATATATATGCGAACATTGAAGTCAACACTCAGAGGCGATAGGCTGTTTCATGCTGGACGCAATCGTGCATATAATCTGCCAACTATAGTACGCCATTATACAATACTGGTGTCACACGCCTTCTAATATCGCTCGTACTAATAGTACTTGCTTGATAATACTCACTCGAATAGTAATCCGTATGGTGATCCGATTAGAGAAATACTATACTGAATAATGTAAAGAATAGCGGACCGTATAGTAACAGACGATAGAGTAGAAATAGTGATCCGTATAGTAATAGAGGATAGACTAGAAATGGTGAGCATTTAGATGCCATGCTACTTTCTACATGCGTTTCCCCCATAATCACGTGATCCACTTAATTCAATAATGCGATCGCCTTTGTTTGCTCACTGGCGATCTATGTTCAAACTCATGTGTTGGCAGTGACACTTTATTCCAATATTTGATGGCCTGATTAACAAAATACTATGTACCACTGTTTCTTGACTTGCAACTGAAATCATTGATCTAAAAAAAAAAATCACGTCTGCACCGCCATTATTTTTGTTATTCATTGTTTTCTCTCTTACCATGGGAATTTAAATTTAAAAAAACAATATAGTCTCATCGTAACCTGAAATGGCGAGAGAACGCAAAATTTAAAATATGGATATCAAGAATTACCGACGGTAAACAAATACAAGCTTGCTTGCCGCTATTCGACACAATATTGCGCCTTTTTGGGCTAATGTTCCTGGTTGATATGAAGTGGAAAGACTATACTGAATCCATTGCTAGATCACCTGCCAGGATGGTTGATTCCCAGTGTCGTGCTACACGGGTTTTTCTATCCGGAGTCTATCTTACATATTTATGTGTACCATTCGTCCGGGCTTAGAATATTATTGCCACATACCTATGGTCCCGCGCTCCTTCTATCTATCTAGAGCTCCTTGATGAAATCCAAAGAAGGATCAGCAATATTATCAGTCCTGATCTGGCGTCTCGGCTTCAGTCACGTTCCCACCGCCGTAAGGTTGCCACCTTTTGCCTTTTCTATATATAATTGTCCGGATGAGCTCTTCGCTATGGGGCTTAGACTCTTCGAGTTAAGGCACAGTACTCGACTGGAGATGAGGTCTCGCCAATTTACAGTTGAACAGTAGATGTAACCGTATGTTTTATTCTAACAGTTTCTTTCCTCGTACTTCTCGCTTGTGGAACTCCGTTTCTTCTCTATGCTTTCCGTCCAACTTTAATCTGCAAAAATTTAAATGCAAAGTCAATCGCTATCTACTGTCTTCCTAATTATTGTTTCGCTGTTCCTGCTCCTTGGCAATGTTCCTATTTCCAACTGCTTACGTCTCGGTGGCTTTACTGCCTTGCATGGGGTGAACTCGATCAAAAAAGAATAAAAAGAAAGGATCTTCCGCTATCACCAGAAGTGAATTATTAGGTTGGTGCAAAAATAATGACATAATAATGTCGTTAAAAAATACGTCACAAAACGACATTATTACGTCATTATTTTTGCACCAACCTAATAATTATCGGCGTTTTAAGAAAGAAGAGAAAATATTTTTGATTTCGCCATAAAATTAACGTCCTATGTTACTTGTCATCGGATATTTACCGTTTCTTTCTATATATCATCCATTTTTTTATCTGTTTAGCCCCAGTGAGAGATTATTTGTCGAAATCACCTTTTCCTTACTTCGCCATTTCTTTCTTTTTATCGCATCTTTTCTTCTTTAAAGAAGTTACTGTCAACGGACAGCACGCGCTTTGTGAGAATGTAAGTCGTATAATCAACCGGATCCGTAACCCAAGGGGCTTAATAAAACGATAATTTCAAGAACATTTTTTGCGATGTTCTAGGGTCACATAGCCACTGGCTGACAGGATTCGTATATTCATCCCTTTCTTCTCACGTAGAGGGGTTTCAATTCGCCTTGTTCGTTTTCACCCCATTACAATGCATTGATTCCTTGGTGAGCCAATATATGTCTTCGTATAATAAACCTTTAAATAAAAATAAAAGATATGCACACACATAAACGCACGCACATACACACAGACACACACATACATACGCACACACACAAATATATATATATATGTGTGTGTGTGTGTGTGTGTCTTTGTATAGAAAGGAGCAAAGATGGATAGGAAAGGGCTGATTAGGATAGGTATACATACTCTGTATTAGCAAGCGTTTTACATATATGTGTGTGTGTGTGTGTGTGTGTGTGTGTGTGTGTGTTTGTGTGTGTGTGCGAGTGTGTATTTAGGCAGCAATCCTTCTTTCATGCACATTTCTTTGAAAACGACAGACAAGATGCTTTTATTTAGTTTTTTATACAATTTCTCATGTGATCTAATTGCTTTTTTTTCTTTTCGGGTGATAAATTATATAAAAACTGTCCGAATGTTTTGGGGTTTTTTTTTATCTGAGTGCTTCCGACTATACATTTAAACATTTTCAAGAATTAAGTATTTCAAATAATAAATAAAAAATAATTTGTTGTATGTATGTTTTATAAAATGTTTTCATTTTTCAAAACACGGTCAAGATGTTGTGTCCATGTTCGAAATTAATATCATTAAGTGTTGTTTTTTTGTTTTTATTAATAAGGCTTCCATTATTTTAGCCTTTTTTTGCCTGTAGATGATGCTAATATTTTAGTGTTGTCAACGAGTATGTTACGAATAGTGCCCAGTAGGTCTCCATTAATATTTAAATGAGATCTAATTGAGCTATGGTCAGAAAGGCGTAGAGTGAGTCTGCGTGTCAAACATGTTGTAGTGTGTCCTATAAAATTATTTACGAATTTTGATTGATCAGGAATACAATTCCTTAATGGCCATTTACACACACACACACACACACATATATATATATATATATATATATATATATATATATATATATATATATATATATATATATATATATATATATATTCTAGTCGAGTTTGCCTCAAGCGAAGCAGTAAAGTCACTAAGACACAAGGCGTTACTGGATGTGAAAGGATTAGAAACAGAGACATTAATTATTAAGGAGCGAAAATAAAAGAAGAGTAATTAGGAGGACAGTATATATATTCGTAATCAGCATCCAACTCATTCCGAATCCTCTGGACTGTCCTCAGATTGATACCCAAACACTCTGAAATGTTCGTATTGGAGCTTCCGGTGCGAATGCCAAGCAGTACAGCATGCCGTTTCCAAATTTCTATCGGAGTGAATTGCGACATGTTGCTCTTTTTCACACAGACGATATCCAACTGACGCTATTATTCTGTGCAGTAGATAAAACGAAAAACAAACAACGCGCATGCGCGAAAGTAAAAAAAAATATAAAATGGTGAAAATTTATACATTACACCCCTATATATATATATATATATATATATATATATATATATATATATATATATATATATATACTATACTGTACTGATGCGGAATTCACCCTGGGCGGATTGAGCCGGCTTCTTCCTGTTATGAGAAGAAGATTCTTGGGATAAATTACAGAAGTAGGGTACCCAGGCCTACTCGAATAACGTTCTTGCTTGCCGCGGGATTCCCACAGACGCAGAGACAGGAACGACCAGAAGCCGCCGGTTACCGATGCAGACGCTTACGGTCAAATCACGCTGAAACACCGGTTCTCGTAGGATCACCGAAGTTAAGCATCGTAGAGCCAGGTCAGTACTTAGATATGGGACCGCTTGGGAACACCTGGTACTGTAAGCCCCCAAAGTCCAACCCTTGAACTCACAGTCGGTGGGGGGTGTAAACGGTAGTGTCAGAGCTATGCTGCCCGGAACTTCGTTCCTGGTAGGGCCACCCAAGGCGGACAGGTCTGACACACACGCCGGCTAACAAGGGCTCTGGTGAAAATCCAAGGATATATATATATACACAAAAATAAATCTGATTCTTATATATCTACTTTGCGTCAACTTTGCGCCAGAGGATTCTAAAGTTTATCCGGTTTAACGAGCCAGTTACCTTCAAGGCACAAAGGCGACTTACAATAATGTTTTCTGATGGTCGCCACATACATACATATATATATATATTTGGTTGGATAGATGTGAGTTTGTGACCCTTGATTTCACGCTTTAGCGATCGTCAGGGTCACAAACTCACATCTATCCAAACAAATATGTTAGCTCTATCTCCGATATTGAGCGCTTTCTAATAAGTACCGCTCATATAATATATAAATAATAATACATATTTATATACACTTTTCACACACACACACACACACATATATATATATATATATATATATATATATATATATATATATATATATATATTGTGTATGTATGTGTGTCCAAAACGAGTGTGTGTGTAATAAGATGATATGAACAGACTGATAAGGATAGGGACAATTACAGAGATTACATACGAAAAGTGATCTGGGTAGGTACAAATATATTGACTCATATATAGTAAGAAATTGATACTTAGATTGTATAGGTAGCTTCACTAATTTGGGATACTTAAGGTTTAAAATGAATTTGTAAATATAAAAAGCTTTGTTGTAACTTTCTTTTTAGCTTTAATTGAAACCTAACAGATTTAAAATTTACTATTTTCAGCAAGCAAAATATTCTGTGGTTCATTTCATATATATTTATATTGATCGGAATCGATTTTTTTCTGTAAAATCGATAACATCGGCCACCTTGACATATTTGTGAAAAATAGTTAATTCTTGGTTTTAAAAATCTTGCAAAAATAAAAAATATGTTTTTGAAACGTTAGTTGACGAAAAATTAGCAAATTCAAAATTTAATTAATCGGATTCTAAACAGATATTACTTATAGCATAAAATCTTGATTTCAAGCATTTCTTAACCATGTGTTGATCGATTTATCAACAGCCTATAAATTTTATATGAAGTTTTTTTATCATAAAGGTCGGAGGGATAACCCTTAAAACACTTAAATCATTTTAATAATAATGTATGACCTGGCATTCTTAGAAAAAAATAGGACGTTTAATGACAAAAAAATCGAAATTCTTTTTAAAAATATTCAGGCTCGTCAGTGATTTAAATTCTTCAAAGAATTCTGCTTTTATCTAATGCAGTTACTAAAAATTATCACGTTGAATTTCGCAAATTTTTATCAAATTCTGTAAGGGTCTGAAACATATTTAAAAAATGTTTTTACCAAGGTTTTCTAAAAAAAACTTGCTTTTATGCAATTTTATTCATTGCTGAATAAGTCCTGAAAATTTCATTAAAATCCGACAATTACTTGATTTTTGCAAGAATTTTCAAATTAATGTGTCTCATCTAAAAAGGGGTTATAATTTGTTATATTTGTGCTAAAAGTTAGTACCTCCGATAACGCAAAAGAAACAAGTTTTTTAATCAAAATTTTGAATGTTTTAAAACGGAGTAAAAAAAAAATCCTAAAATATTCAAAAAATATTTTGATCCTTTCTTTTAATAATAACAAAGATTTTGACGCTAAAAACTATGTTTTCATTACGGTTGAAGCATGTTTTCATTATGTTTGAAGCATGTTTACATTACGTTCGGAGCATGTTTTCATTATGTTTGAAGCATGTTTTATCACAGTATCCTGAATTTTAACGATTTCGTTGTGGTACCTAGATTGATATCTAGCCGTAAAGATTGAAATTGGTAAGAAAAGACAAATTGACTGAGATACGGAAAGGCATGCACATATTAAGAGACTGGTAAATTGATTGACGCAATTATCGACGCGTAGAGTTTAAAGTTCAGACACGTCTGCGGCATTCGCATTCGCACTAATACCATTCGTGAAGGCATGGATGTATTTTTCTTCTCAATCTACTAGATAAAAACAGGATAAACTGGGATCTTTAGCTTTGGGTGGCAACCAGTCTAGGAGAAAGTCTACTCTGAATTCTGTGGCGGGAGAAGGCTACTGGAAACCATTCTACTATCTTAAGAGGCCGTGGCATTTCCCAGATGATAAAGAAGAGTAAGTTGTGGAGAGTCAGGATCATCAGTGTCCCGAAGGAGTAGGATATTTAAAATAAAATGGAGATAGAAAGAAAGGAAGAAAGAATGATTAGCAGACTGAGAACAGCAACATACAGAAAGAGGGGGGGAAGAAAGAGATGATCACTATGGATATATACATAAGAATAACGTGGTCAGAATCATAGAATCACGCTTTGTGAAAGAAACTTTTGGATGTCAATATCCTTATACACACATACACATACAAACACACACACATACACATATATTGCCAAATTAGTTCAGAAATTAGTTGAGCAAGTGAAACCTACAGGTCTTAGTCAAGACCATACTTCTTGAAACCTTGGGGACTTGCACTACAGAATCACAAAGAACTATATCAACAGAAACTACATCAGTTAATGACTACCAACAGCAGAAACAGCTAAAATGGATAGCACATGTTACCAGAAGAGAAAAATAATGACTTAAGTTGTTGCCATTCCATACTGCATCAAACAAAAGGTTGTGAAGGAAGCCATCATCAATACTGGATAGAACGATAATAGCTACTTGACATGAGAAATCTATTTTCCTGAAAGCTTGTTTTAAGAGAAAGATTTTATGAATTTCAACAGACAACAGTACTTGGCTGCTTGGTTAATGAATGCCAAATGTTTCCTTGTAGGGAAACGGTCAATAAATGGAAAATGTTTTCTTGGAGGAAAGCTGTCAATGAATGCCAAATGTTTCCTTGTAGGGAGATGGCTAATATTATCATTTCCAATGCTATTATTACTGTAGTACGAACAGTAGATAGACTTATGGTAAGCTGGGGATTTCACACGGATATTTTCAGTTGAACTTGGGAAAAATTCGAGAAGGAATGCAGATTTTCATGGCAGTCAGACAGTCTCGCCTTAAACAATCTGCAGCAAAATATTTATCCCCTAATTTTCCCGCGCTGTAAATATCAATTAAGTTTATATTAAACAAAGTATATTTAGGCAAAAATATTATTATATTATATATATTATTCGTTTTAATATGGTTTGTGTCGAAGATGTCAGATGGAAACATGTAAATGAACTTGCCGAAATTGTGTGTAATGTTTTGGAGTATTTTCAAAGAAAAAAACTAGACAGACGCGATAAGTAGCTTATTTTACACCAGAAGTTTTTCCCAGGTTCACTTTGAACCGGGACGGTAGCACCTGTTAAGATCTCAGCTATGGCCAAATAGTTAAGCCCCAAACAGGGGTTAAAATACTATGGACGAATAAAAATAGATTTTCATAGTAAAAATACCAGCAATTCGTAGTTGAAAAAATATTACCAGCAATACATGTTTGAGAAAAATATTACCAGCAATACATGTTTGAGAAAAAATATTACCAGCAATATATTTGACTCTAGAACAAAAAAAAACTCTTTATTAAAATACGTCAATAAAACCTGATCAATAAAGGGATTTCCTACAAACAATACATATTCTATTCATACGGACCTATCAGAAAAATCTTGTCAGCATTAAATAACCCAACGATATGTTCATATGCCGTAAAACAAAATAAACCAAACCAAACCAGAAGAATTTCACTAAATGTTATAACAGATATTCTCTATCCGTTCTGTTTTATATACATACCGGATTTGAGAAACTTATTTTCCTATAAAATGTTTTAAGAGAAAGATCTTATAAATTTCAACCGAAAGCAGTACTTGATGCTTGGTCTATGAATGCCAAATGTTTCCTTATAAGGAAACGGCTAATGTTGCCGTTACCATATGTAGAGAAGTCTAGGTGCGAAGATAAATAATTATCCAGTGTCATTCAGTAAGTTTCCTCTTAGCTTATTTTTCGAACAATCCTTTCTTTTATTTATTTATTTTTCTTCCCTGTCCGTTGATCCCGCTTTTGTTTAAATAGAAATGCATTTTCTACTATTAGATATTTGTGATTTTTTTTTTATTCATTTCTTTTCTCGCTTTTGTATGGATTTTCCCCTTTAAACCTCCTGAGTATGTTAAATGCCTAGAGCCTTGATTCAGCGTACGAGTCTGAAGCGTACAAAAGTATTTTCTCGTATGCCGATAAAGAAGTTAAGCATTTAGATACGCACATGAAGTGTTTGGCTTGTTTGATTATGGCCGTCTAATACATACACTCACGCACATGCGCAGGCATACACGCATACGTGGACATACGCACACCCATAATTATATTGTTTAAAAGTTGGCATATTAAATGTTGGAAGAGTGTTCAATATCACGATAGCGTTTTATGATATATATATATATATATATATATATATATATATATATAGAGAGAGAGAGAGAGAGAGAGAGAAAGAGAGAGACAAAGAAAGAGATAAATATAGAGATATTAGTGTATATATATTCATATATATATTTATTTATATATATATCTATATATATATATATTTATGGATATATGTATATATATGTATATATATGAGTGTGTATGTATAAAGAAAAATAGATATATAGATAGATTACCAAAAGAAACAGATAGAGAGAGAGGGAGAGATAGATAGATAGATAGATAGATAGATAGATAGATAGATAGATAGATAGATAGATAGATAGATAGAACACACAGAAATAAAACACCCTATGTATATCTTGAGAAGCATAAGTTCCCTGATATATATATATATATATATATATATATATATATATATATATATATGGGGAGTAGGGTGTTAGTGTGTGTGGTTGTATTTAATACATCACTTCCGAAGTGTGTTATTATATACCAATCAATGTATATGTGGCTTAACAGGATATTGAGGTTCGTTGAAAGCATATATGTATACCCACACATACGCACGTCCTCCACAGACACTCCACCCCATACATGCATATATATATATATATACTAGTGAAATTATGTTTTTATGCTTCTAAATATATATATGATATCTATATTTGGCTTCTTAGTTGGTCCTAGCATTTTAAAGTAACTTCATGTATATACATTATATATATATATGTGTGTGTGTGTGTGTGTGTGTGTGTGTGTGTGTGTGTGTGTGTGTGTGTGTGTGTGTGGCGCTCGGTAAGGGTTCCGGTATGATAATGAACTTACTTCCCCGAAAGGTGAACAAGTAAAGAATCTACATTTCCAAGTTGGGCACGTACAATCACAATAGAAAAGTATCTCCGTCTACAAATATTCTATGCGTGATGCAGTTAGGCTATGAATTATTTTTACTCCCTTCCTTTCTTCGCCACATAAATAAAATCAAATTTCTGTTACGTACAATTGCAGAAGCTTCATATAAAAGAAAGAAAAAAAAAACTTGCATTTATCACAGACAGAAAATTAATGCTGTTTGACACGGTTAGTTCTTTTTTTTTTTTAATTTTATTTTTCACGCATGATTTGCATAAAAGATGTATTTTTATTGATATTTATAACATAAATATTTCGAACCGAAAAGCCAGCCGCTGAAAAATCTCACCCACCGCCAAGACTCACTAATAGACTACTCAAAATCTCTAGTTAAAACTCTACATTTTCCTATTTCTTTTTTGTTTTCGTTAAAGGTTAGTAAGCTAGCTTCATTGGACACTAAATTCTTACCATCTGTAACAGCCTAGGTTAAGTTTAATAAATATCCGTTATAGTGGAACAACCTAACACAACCCGACAGTGATTAGTCAGTCCAAAAGTGACGTAACTGGGAGAATAAAAGACGTGACGAACTATTGTAGTGGTAGTAGGAGTAGCACCACGAACCTTCCGTGACGTATCTCCGTTTTCCTTGTTATTACGAACTCCTACTCCTTGTACTTTCGGTACAATAAAATCCTTGTTATTTGTTAACCCAATTCCTGTGTTAGTGTAATCTTCCCACTCGGGATTACCTGATTGTTTATATCGTATTACCCACGATATAACAATATCAATTTCGCACCGAATGTCGACCTATGCGGTAAGCCTAATTGTTATTATCGCAGAAATTTGAATCTGCAGGTTGAGTTCAAATTCCGTTTCGCCCTGTATCGACCACATCGAAGAACATTAAGACGAAAATGCAGAGAAACGTAGTCATATGTTGAAAAAAAAAAAGCGTTTACAAATTTACTAAGCATTTCCCATTTTTTTTTTTTTTTGCGGCATGAATGATGTCATAGTTCAAATTTCCGTCAAGTCGGTTTAATAAGGACAGGTCATTGCGTTGGGTACCAGCCTGTCCAAGAATTCAAACACGTAGAAGTCGGTTTAGAGACACTGTGGCACGACACTAGTCGTCTGCTACCAATTCTTCAAAAGGTGTGGCTGTTTTTATACAAGCCTCTACTTCTAAAATCAAATTAAGTCGGTGCGTACTCTACCGGTTCAATTCGAAACGAATCGATTCTGACCCCAGAGGTTGAATCCAGCCATCATGGGAGGAGCACATGCTCTCATCGCTGAATCCTATAGATAACCACTCAATCTCTGAGATGAGTTTCCCATGAAACCAACGTTCAAGATGACTTTTTGCCGTAAGTAGAATGTTTGGCTAAATTTAGGCGGACCTGTAGTCCAGCTACATGTAAACGATTCCTAACGGTTCGTGTTGGCATTCCTCCAGGCACATTTGCTCCGATCTGTGCTGGAGACGACGTGCTGTCTGCCAATGATGTTTTAACAATGTGTTGAAGTTGTCAAGCGTCTTCGCTACGTATCTTATCGGAAGCTGATTTATTGATGCCAGAACATCGAGTCGACTACTGTGGCCAACATCAAGGCTCGATCAACGTTTAATTTGAAATGTAAGCTGTAATTCTCCGAAACTGCCAACCTCGAAATGACTCTAATTGAATAAAATCTCCGTGATATGCAACTTGATGTTACAGGAAAACTTTACTATCTTGATAGAGTTCAGAAGCACCTGCGCATCCTTGCTGGTGATGAATTAAATCCCTCCCTATAGCCCGTTACCCACAACCAAAAACGTCACAAGCTTCTCACTACTCTAGCGCTATTTCTATGGCAAAAGTTCTGACTGGCTACAGAATTCCTACAGTTCGGACCTTCGTAGTTCAGCTCCGCCATGATAAGAACACTGGGACGGATCATGCCCATTCTCTAGATATTCTATTGGTAAGAAGAAAATACCACTCAGCTTCTTTACACACAAACAACAACTTTGTGGAATAAGGTTCCATGTGAGTACTTTCCCGATCTCAACACACTTAACCTCTTCAAGTCTAGGATTAGTCATTATCTTTCTCACATGAACTGATACACAACACTTCTTACATTCTCTTCTTACGTTAATTGGAACTTCGTTCAGTAATCCTCTATCTCGGGTGGCTCTTGGGGCTTGTTTTTGGTAAATATTAGTAAAAAGTCTGAACTTTATTTCTACAAATTTCACCGTCTAACAGTCAGATGCAAACGTTGCAATAACATGATTCTTACGATCTCACAAAAAGGCCGAAGAAAGTTTTCTCGGAATATTAAAAAACCTCTAGCACACATATAGTGTAATCAGTTAAAAATCGATATCAGGGCTAAATGTGTTGCAATTCCATCAGTAAAGATATATAGATAGATATAAATATATCAGAGCAGAGCTGGACTATTCTGTTGATATTTCTTAATCTTTTACTATTTATATATTGTGGAATGAGTGTGCTATTTTTTTCTTTTTTCGCGTGATGGGTGTCAGGTGACTTTGTTGTTGATTTCTTTTCTTCTCCTTTCCTTTCCTTTCTTTTATTTCTCTTTCTCTTCCTTATCTTTTCCGTTGATCTCTGTTTTACTGCTAATCTTTCTTAATGCTTTTTCAGGATTTATTCTTTTGACGATTTAATTTAAAGTCACGATTGTATTTTTGTGCGTTTATGTATGTTTGTGCAGACCTGTGTTTGTGCGTGTGCCTATGTATGCGCATGTATTCATATATATATACACTCAAATTATTATATATATATATATATATATATATATATATATATATATATATACTCACCCATTTTTGAATATTTTATGTTGCTGGAATTTGCTGATATTCTTTTGTTTATGGATATAAGTGTTTGAATACTTTAGGGGGATAGTTGAAGTTTTTATTTATTTATATAGGATTGTTTTTGAATTTCTTTATGGTTTGTATGTGCTGTTGTTTACATTGAATGTTATACCTAAGGTACTTTTACTACTTTGGGTCAGATTTTATCTCTATTTTGAATCTGAATGTGTTGAAACCTTCTATAATTATTTTTTTTTTTTTTTGTAGTTCCCTCGTTACAATTTCTTACGATTATTAGGACGTCGTCCCTGTATAAGTATGTTTTTTTGATTAATGCTGTGTATTAATTTACTGATTATATATATGCCCATGAGTTCGCAAACCAAGTACTATCATAGATGCCCATTGTCAACTTATCGTCGTTATTGATATTGTTGTTATTATTAACGTTGCGTTTTTTGTCATATTTTGTTGTTGTAATATGATATTGACTTTCTGCAGTGTTTAGGTCTTCGGTTGGGATGTATATATATATATATATATATATATATATATATATATATATATATATATACTGTTTCGCCAGGTCTAGTGCATTGTTTAGTGTGTGTTCATTGATGGATGGGTAAAAATTTTCTATATCTAGTTGTATAAAAGATCAGTTTTTTCTGTTATTGATGTCGAATGAATTAATTGTTTCTTTTGTATTTTCCCATTGGTTTATGTTTAGCATGTTCCTTAAATTTCTGTATAATTTTCTCTACAATTTGCGTAATCATTTTTCCGATGTTTTTTTTTTATAGGGTTTATTAGTCTGCATATTGGGTTATTTAAGATGTTTTTTTGTGGTCTTATAGTTTAATGAATGGTTCTACTTTTGTTTGGTTCTCTTGTTCAATTTTACTTTGGCGACTATGGTTTTACTTCTTTTATGTTGTTTTCCAATTCATTGTTGCTGGATTTGTAGAATTTGGTAATCACTTTTTCAATATATTTTTTCTAATTGTTTGTTTGTATTTTATATATGGCTCTGATTTTGTTGGCTTCTATGTATAGTTTTTTTTAAATCATTTTTTGGTATTTTCCAGTTGCTTGTTTTCCTTACTTCTCTTTTGTTTATTATGTTCATTAGATCGTTTTTAAAATGCGATGATATCGCTCTGTTGTTGTAAGAACAATACGAAAACTTAAAGAACCGCTGAATATGCTGAACCAAAAAAATCTCCTAAGTCGGCCAAGCATAGACAGGAATACAATATGGGAACCAGTAACACAGAGAGCTAGAGAAAAACATAAAAAAAGTTTTAAAATGATTACTGAGACATTAGGTATATAAGTCACAAAAATTCTCTCACTGATATCCCCAAGGATAAAAGCGTTGGTTGTAGTAATCCAAAACCAAAGAGTTGGGATTTCCATATCTGGCCACAGCAGAAGGAGCAAAAATTTGGATATTTGAGTTACTAGAGGGAATTAACTGAAATTGAGATATCCAGAAAAGGCATAGCACGTGGAATTAGAATAATCTAGTCCCGTGGACTAAATAAAATCTTCGGTTCGAAGTTCCAACATATACCACATGACGAAGTCCAACCGTTCAACGGCCGAAACGACGTAAATGAGGACAATTAGAGTAAATAGTTAAAATGCTTCATCTCAGAAATATAGACAAGGGATAAATTTTATATTTTATTATTTCTGACATGTCACTTTTCAAATAATATTGATCAAACTGGCCTGTTAACGAGCAAAAAATCAGAGGGGTATACAAAATGCATATAGGCAGCCTTAACAGTAACTGCCGAATGTAAAGATATTTACCCAAATATTAAAAGAAACAAATAAAGATGACTAGGAAAGAATTGGAGAGAAAGATTAATTTTATACAAACAGAACATGCTAGCAAAGTGTATAAATGTATTATAGACCTTCTCTCCGATTCTGAAAAGGAAAGCGTGTGCATGTTACAAAAATCTGTCCTTACTCACAAATCGTTTTCGAAGCGGTAGTATTTTTCCCATGTGTCCGGGAAACACCTTTTGTTCAGGGCGTCACAGAATGGCCGCTAACGGCCATATGAATAGTTAAGAGAGGGACATAATAATTGGGCAAGAGAAAGTTAATATTTATCAATTAAAAATTTAACAATACTAGACTACTTACAAATGCATCCAAATTTACGACTTTTTTAGCTCGACCTAGTAACCTATATATATATATATATATATATATATATATATATATATATATATATATATATATATATAAATATATGGATATAGATCCGATACAAATATATGAAGAAGAAAATATATACGGAAAAAAACAAACAAAAATCCTTATATACAATTATGCTGTTTTAATGTTAATATGTCAACGTCGGACGTTTCGGTCTGATAAACCATCTTCAGGACATATTCATAAATATAACATTATCAATACAACAACATGACAAAGACGACTTGTATGTACATAAGAACAATATTTTTCTTATATATATATTATTTTTGTTTTTATATATATATTTTTATTGGATATATATAATATATATATATATATATATATATATATATATATATCCTATATTTTCCTATTGTGTTTTTATTCATTCATATATATGCGTGTGTGTATGTGTGTGTGTATGTGTTTGTGTGTGTGTAAAATTCATATATATATATATACATATATTTTCCTGTTGTCTTTTTATTCATTCATATATATATATGTGCGTGTGTATGTGTGTGTGTGTAAAAATTCATAGAAAAAGACAATATAAATAAAAACAGAAGGAAATCTTATCTTAGGTGACGCGTTTCCAATGCTACAAAAGAGAAAGTAACTTAAAAGGAAAATTTTCGAAAGTGCCGCTATCGGATCGTACCATAATATAAATTTGCACCCCGGATTTTTTTCAAATGTCTCCTTTGCTAAAAGAAATTGTTCGTTTGCCAAGCAAACATACATGAATATAAAAACTATTAAAATTAGAAAAAATGGTTAAATTCAAAACCTTCTGTTATTTAAAAGAAACTCAAACTTAAATAATATAAATAATAATTAAATTATAAAATAATTCAGCAACAACAATAAAAATATTTACGCTCGCATATTAGCCATGAAATTATATCACTTAGGATCTTCCATAATTCGCCTTGACATTCAGTTACCTTGAATTATATTCATGAGCGTTCTTAAACTTAAAAATTCTGAAAAACTAACGTCATTTTACTTTTGTTTATAAATAACTGTTACAAAAATATAAATATATTATACACGTATGGATTCCCGGTAATTACATAATAACTAGTACCCTGGTCTGTGATGTGCCCGATTCACGTAAGATACTCCAATTTTCAGGCCTACAAAATACAAAGCTATGTTTAGAGCAAGGGTTACGGACATATTCTATGAGATTATTCGAAAATTAACTGGATGTTTCTCATTTTTGACCTATGTCACACAAAAAAAAGCTTGATAGATAGATAGATATGAACAGAGGCAGTTCATATCTGTCTATCTATAGCATAGATAAAATAGTCTGAGATAGACTAGAATAAAGACAGACTGATCCTACAGTGTGGAATAGATAGAAACAATCTAACGTATTTAAGATAGATAGATAGATAGATAGATAGATAGATAGATAGATAGATAGATAGATAAGCAAAGCTATGCACAGTCTGAGAGAGATGAACAAAGATGATTCAAGTCTGAAATAGATAGATAGATAGATAGAGCAAAGATAGATAGATAGATAGATGATAGAGGCAGATAGATATATAACGACTATTCAAGTCTGAAATATGAACAACGACGATTCAAGTCTGAAATAGATAGATAGATAGATTTGAACAGACTGTGATAGATAGATAGATAGATAGATAGATAGATAGATAGATAGATAGATAGATGTTGAAAGTGAAATAGATAGATAAAGAGATAAGTAGAGAGGCAGATAAAAATTAGATAGATAGATAGAGAGAGAGAGAGAGATAGATAAAAAGAAAGTATGTTGATATTATTCACCCCATATGAACTCCAGTCCATTTAATCTTAGTTACTTTGACATTATTATCGCAACTAAGAAGACAACATAATATTATTATTGTGATTCAAAAGAGCTAGGTTAGTGCTACTGTCAAAAGAGAAGACATTCACAAGTTATTGAGTCTAAATATTGTAAGACAAGAGTTAAGAGGTTAAAAGTTGGCTTTATTATTGCGATCTGTTGATCCAATCCATCAATTTATAGTTATAAAATCAGCGGTTACATATATATATATATATATATATATATATATATATATATATATATATATATATATATATATATATATTCACTTTCTTACCATGAGAACCTGGTTCGAATCTTACAATGATCGTTTTGTCAGTTATTCCTGATGTTATCGGTCTGAAGAGGGGATGATCCCAGCAGGCATCACCTTTGGAAAGTGCCTGAAAACACGGGTTGACCCAAGCCTTGTGAGTAAAATTGGGTAGAGGGAAATTTGGCAGGACCGTCGATAGCTGTGCAGGCACGAAGTCACAAGTCATCGTTACCGAGGGTTTGAGTGTGCTGGTGTTGTTCAGATTGTTGATCATTCTAGATAACACGCTCTCTCCCTGAAACTGTAACTAAGGTCAACTCATCATAGTTGCAGTATAAACCACAGTTTGAACAAACACAAATGTGCCTGAGCGAGAGTCTGCAATAGAGATTGACTAGTCGCCCTAGTAGGCGGGTGTCTTCCAATACGAGTGGCCAACTATATATATATATATATATATATATATATATATATATATATATATATATATATATATATATATATATATATATATATATACTAGCAGCATGGCCCGGCGTTAAGGAACGATCTTGTTAATACTTGATTGTGAACAAAATATCAACAAAATTTAATATTTGGTAAACATCCCCTTATTTTCAATGACTTCTCTGCATCATCGACCACATGGTCTAATTAATTTCTTGCAAAAATCAGCAGTAATTCCCTCCTATTCGTTTTTCAATAACTCCCATAGGTGATCCTGGTTTTTCGGGTTTCTTTTCTGAGCCCTTTCTCCAATTATCTTCCAAACATTTTCTATTGGATTCAGATCGGGGCTCTGGGCTGGCCACATCATTAGGGCGATTTCTTCTTCTTCAAATAAAGCCATAACCTTCTGAGCCTTGTGGCAAGGTGCATTGTCCTGCATGAAAATAGGAGATTCATAAAGATTATGGTGTAATCTTGGTACCACATGCTGCTGAAAAAGCCTTTTGTAAATCTCCGCATTGATATTGCCATGTACGCGGATGATAGGGCCAACTGCTGCAGATGAAATCATTCCCAACACCATCACACTGCCCTCACCAAACGGTTTTCTTGACACATTGAGAAGACAGTCTTTCACCTGTTCTACGGCGTACGTAAGTTTTGCCCTCAGAACCAAATATAGTAAACTGAAATAAACTGTATCCCATTGTGCGTCAGTCCAAACAACATGTTCTCTCGCATACTCCAGGCATGCCCTTTGGTTTCGCTTTGAAATGAGAGGCTTCAAAGCTGGAATCCGGGCTTGCCATCCTGCATTTTTTAACCTGCGAGCATCCGTTTTCCGCGAGATCTTATTATCTGTATCTTCATTAGATTTACGGGAAATTGATATAGCAGTTTCAAAACGTTTTTTTTTTTTTTTGTATATTTCTAACAATTCTTCGATCTTCTCTTTGCGATGTTTTTGGTGGTCTGCCGGTTTTTGGTTTTGCATCTAACGTTTTATCGGTTTTATACTTGCTAATTACACGATGAACGACACTTTTAGACCTATGAACAATATCAGAAATTTCTGAAATTGACTTTTTTTCTTGATAGCGATGATGAGGTTTATTTTTTTCAAAAGAGAGCGTTTTGCGTGTAGAATTTGCCATATTGCTTAAAAATCAAGTCCTAATGATAAATGAACTTTTACTTATTGTTGAAAAGTTCCATCGAGTTTTTTAACAATGTAAATTAAAAGTTTATGCAAATTATTAACATCGTTCCTTAACTTTTGTCCAGTAGCTTATTTCCTTTGTTCCATTTAATCTTTATTTAAAAAAAAAAACTATTATGTAAATTTTTGTAACTTATATTTATGCATTACACCTAATCTTTATTCAGTAAAAATTTCATTGCTAATCATGCATTACTTTTTAAGTAATACACATATTTATGTCTTTGTTGTTTCCGTTCCTTATATTATGGCTACTGTATATATATATATATATATATATATATATATATATATATATATATATATATATATATATATATGTGTGTGTGTGTGTGTGTGTGTGTGTGTGTGTGTGTGTGTGTGTGTGAGATTAAATGTGTAAAGTCTGACAATTGTTTTGATATATTCTAGGTTTATGTTCAATAAATTATATCTATAAAAACAAACTATAAACAGAAAATATATTAAAATAATTGTCGGACTTAATCCATTTCATAATATGTTGGCATTGTTTACGTTAAGATACATTTCGTGAGCAGAAATGATCGATCGAGAAAAATCGTCGAAGGTGGGTGTTTATAAACAGTAATTCGGACTTTGCTAATCAGGGAATGTTTAACAGCACGTCAAATGATGGCTCCCATTAGGGATACAGGTTTGATTCCTATCGGAGGAGCACATATTTTGTACGAAATTTCTCGAAAATTCAACCCGGTAAAGGTAATTATTTAAACAACAACCAGTGCATGTATTTAAACAAATTATATCTATAAAAAATAACGTATAAAAAATATATATATATATATATATATATATATATATATATATATATATATATATATATATATATATATATCCAAGTATAGGATTTTGTATACGGAATAAATTCAATAACCAACAAATACTATTCTTAAAAAGAGTGCTCAATACAGAGTAGAGCAAGTATAATTATTTATTCGAAAATTATAACATAAATATGTTATAAAATCACTACAAAAAATAGTCATTTTGTTTCAACACTTGAATATCATCCCACACCATCACTTGATAAGATACCAGAAGTGTTGTATTTTTGTAGCGATTTTTCCAACATATTTATGTTATAATTTTCGAATAAATAATTATATATATATATATATATATATATATATATATATATATATATATATATATATATATAATCACCGGTTACTCGTTTCCGCTGGTGCGGCTAGCCAATCCCTGTTAGTGGAGGCTGCTCAGGTATATTTGTGTTTCTTCAAAATACACAGAGCTCGCCTGTAGTTTATACTGCAACTAGGCTTAGTAGAGAGTTACAATCTCTAGAAGAGAACACATAATTTTGTTTAATCAGTAGTTTTGATAAAATCTGTACGTTTAAATCATCAGTCACGATGACTGAAGACATCGGGAAGCTAGTACAAATATGGCCGCTGTCTGAACATTTTCCTCTATTCAATTGCATTCACAAGGCTTCGGTGGTCCCGTGGTGCAGATACACGTCACACGCCTGTCTGGAACGTATAAACCATATTGAATATTTCGAGAAACACTTGCCTGGATTTGATGTATCCTGTCAACTTATCAAAGCAGTCTTTTCGGCGCATGTTTGAACCAACACGGGGTTGAGTTTCGCAGTCGATAGTGAGACACATTCGTGTAAGTTTTTGAACATTCTAGGCGTCGCTTTTCAATGTGAACGAACGAATAGATTCGATAAGATGTCTATCGTCTCGCCCATGTTTTCAGTTTCCTACTCTCACCGAAATCGACTGTGTAGATTCAGTGCCTTGCTTTTTTTTCTCTTCATATCGTGGCCGATCATTGTACTCCACAGTTTCCTATATTTCGTACCGCTTTTATCGGTGTTACCCTCTAGCCTTATTGCTCCTTCTTGCGTCTACGAAATCTAAAATCGACAATGAAATTTCATACTTGGACTTAAAAAGAATAAAATGTGTCGACGTAGCAGGATACATGAACTAGATTTTTCAATTTTCATTGGTTTCGTCATTCCTGTGACATTCTGATCGTGTATGTTTAACTTGATCATATATATATATATATATATATATATATATATATATATATATGTGTGTGTGTGTGTGTGTGTGTGTGTGTGTGTGTGTGTGTGTGTGTGTGCACGCGCGCAAATATATAGAAAAATAGGAAAGGACCGTTTGGTTAATAATCCAAAAGTTCTTTAATATTTTTGGTTTTATTATTAAAAACAGTGCTCAATACATAAGTAGAGCCTAAATTATAATTATCTTTTAAAAATATGATTCCATCGCTACATAAGAGTTCTCATGTTTCAAAAATAGAAACTAAAAAAACAGCTCTGTTTCATACTCAAGGGAATTTTGGAATAACTAATCTCGAAATTTACGGAACTTTATAAGCATATACATTCGTATAGGAATGTATATGTTTATAAAGCTCAGTAAATTTCAAGATTAGTTATTCCAAAATTCGCTTGAGGATGAAACAGCGCTTATTTTTTTTTTTTTAGCTTCTGTTTTTAAAACATGAGAACTCTTATGTAGGGATGGAATCATATTTAAAAAAATAATTATAAGATATATATATATATATTTGTGTGTGTTTGTGTGTGTGTGTATATATATATATATATATATATAATTTATATTTGTGGCAGCAATTTCTTTTTCAAGCATCTTTCATTGAAAACGGTCGATAAGGAAGATTTAATTAATCTTTTTATTGAGTTTTTCCAGCATTCTATCATTTTTTTTTCCGTTTTCAGAATATAAAAAATGTCCATAGTTGTTATTATTCCGAGCGCTTTCGACTAGTTCTACGGTCATTATCAAGTATATTGTTTTGGTGTGGTGAATATCACGTGTTGACTCCTATATAATAGTTTATTTCGTGCGTAGATTTGCGAAGAAGTGCATGCCTTTTTCGGCGGTCACGTGTCATGCGTGATTGGTTGACCTAAGCATCACTTCTATTTTTAGAAAACCTTTAACACGCCGTCTCCACTGCTAAACAGTGTAAAATAGCAAGGGACCTGTATCAATAATTCTTCCCTAATAAGGAGTTGTGTACGACTATTTGATTTGAAAAGAATTTTTGTGTCATCAACTAGAAATTTCCTTAACCGTTCTTGTAAATTGTGGTTTAATAAATGTTTATTAATCGTACTCTGCTTCGAGAGGTGTCATGTATGGCATAAACTTAAGAAGGTAGAGGTGTGTCCGATGTAGTTATTTTTTTCACAAGTAACACAGTCCTATACTGGGCATTGAAATTGGTACACTACATTGATCACTGCTACTTTAGATTTGGTGGGGTTATTTCGGTTAGTGACGACGAGGTTTGCCGTCTTCCATTTTCTATAATATATTATAAACTTTATATGTTTTCATATTCATATATATATATATTTTTCACTTTCATATATTTTCAAATTTTTATAAACATCCATGTAGGTTGTTATTTTCAATTAAAAGAAATTATTTCCAGATAGACCTCGAATATATATATATATATATTAAGCGTTTCACCCAAAGCAAGGCGAGAAGCCACTAGGACGCAAGGGGTTACAGAAAATTTGGAGCAAGATCAGATAGAAGTGATAGAAGAAAGGATGAGGAGAAGGATAGTGGATAGACCAAGGTAACTGGAGATGTCGATTGACATTACATTTGAATAGTTGGAGATTATAGCTCTCAGGGAAACTGGAATAGGGAAGGGAGTTCCACAGGCGAGAGGTGCGAGACATGAAGTTATTGGAGTAGAAGAGACGGCTACATTTAGTAGTTTCGACAGTGAAAGTGTGAGAGTGGGATGCCAGCCTCGTAGGGCGCTTGAACTCATGAAGTCTGGGAACCAGCGAATGCAGCTCCTCGGAGCAATTACCATGAAAGTATTTGTAAAACAGACGGCGCGTCTGTGTGAAAGTGACTGTATACGAGATGCCAGATCAGGGCCAATTATATTGCATATCCGCCTTTGGAGCCTATCAAGAACCCCGAGGCAAACAGAAGGGGCTCCAGACCATATATGCCAGCAATACTCCATGCAAGGGCGAATTGTTGATTTGTAGATCTAGAGGATGGATTCCGGGGAGAAAAATTTCCTGGCGCGGCACAGGGAGCCAACTTTCCTTGCGGTGGACGAAGCAATTGACTCAATGTATTTGTTATGGGATAAAGATAATTTTTTTTGGCCTGATGATTGCGTTTAGCATGAAACTGTCGACTCTGAGTGTGGACTTCAATGTTCGCTTTTAGATAGATAGATAGATAGATAGATAGATAGATAGATAACATATATGAGGTCTGTCTGAAAAGTAACAGGACTGGATGTGCTGCGTGAGATGTGGGCGAAAGAGAGACAAGCGGATTGTGTTATCAACTAGCATGATATCATTGCGAGTATATAACTATATAGCCCTCTGCATCCATTGTAATTTTTTCACGTGCGAGAGTTGTGACAGGACAAATTGTGGCTGCTTCATCAAGACAATACACCTGCTTACAACACTCTTTGCATCTAGCAATTCTTGTTCGAGAATACCATCCCCCTATTGGAATCACCTGCCATTCACCAGATCTTGCTCTGTGCAATCTTCTTTCCAACCACTCCAAGCTCAAGGGGTTCATCAGAGTGGCCGGATTTAAAGGCATGGTGGCCATGAAAAGCGCCATAACGACGGATCTGAGAACTATCCAAGAAGAAATCTTTCCAGAAGTGCATAGAAGCATGTCAGAGAAGGATAGAAAAATGCATTAAAAGAAAAGCCATGTATGTTGTTATTTGGAATTGAAATAAATTATTTGTAACACCAATCCTGTTACTTTTCAGATAGACCTTATATATATGGGATAACGATATCTTTTTGTTTTATATCAAAAACAATTTTACGGGAAAGAAATATGACAAAGTAGAAAACGATTTTCCTGTGACGCGTTTTCCCCTTTAAGACGTCATCGAACCAAGTTTATATTTACGTTAATACGACTGCACATGCGCACGGGAGAGAAACGCTTGGAATTTTAAATTTATTTTTTTAAGTATGTTTTGAGTATATAATCTAACCGATTTCATTTTCATGAACTAAAAGAAAAATATCTCAATGAAATCGCATAGATTATACAACAAAAACAGAGATTAAAAAACATTTGTAACTTTAAAATTCACACCGTCTTTCTTTCATGTGCATGTGTACTCACATCAACGTAAAACATATAAGTAGTCCGATGAAGTCGTAAACATTTTCCACTTTCAATACTACTTTAATTTAAACTCAATTTAATTTAAAGGATTATATTGAAGTTTTCGGCTCTTGTTTTGAAACATGAGACCTCTTATGTAGCGATTTGGAATCATATTTTTAAATAAATAATTATATTTATGCTCTACTTTTGTATCGAGCACTATTTTTTAAAAATAATAACTAAAATACTAAGGGAATTTGGATTATTTACCTAACCAGTTCCTTCGTATTTTCTATATATTTTTTATATATATATATATATATATATATATATATATATATATATATATATATATATCACGGCTTGAAGCAATGGGATGTCTAGCCTCAATGATGAGCTGCGATGCAGCAGAAAAATCTGCCTGTGGATGATTTGCTCTCGTTCGACGATTGAGCACTATGCAGAAAGAAAATTTTTAGCAGTCGCTGCTCCTGCTTTTAATGCATCGCTCTTCAGTTATGAATTGAGCGTCCTGGTTCCTGATTTGATGTATATATACATCACTCATATAATACGTTAAAAGATTCCCCCTCGCCGATAGCTTAGGGGTAGAGTCTCTGATTGATGCCAAATACATATATATATATATATATATATATATATCAATACAGATTTTTCCCTCACCGGTAAAATAAATCTGAATTTCACACACGATGCTTCCGTCAGCTGCTTGTTGAAAACTCAATGATGATTGCATCGTCCATGAAACTCAGAATTATGTTACCGGTGAGGGAAAAATGTATATTTATTATTAATAATAAACATTTGCTGATACCTCCTGAGGAGTGGACCGAACAATTACACAATTACTTTCGTCTATGAATAGAGGTACTAAATGTAACATCAATCAGCAACATAACAAATTTTATTCTGTAATAATACTATATAATATTGATATTAATTTTGGCTCTGTTATACATCGATCAGGTACTATTTTATTAGCACCAAAACTATATATATATATATATATATATATATATATATATATATATATATATATATATATATATTGTTACCTGCGTGGACCACGTGTATGTCTTAGTGGTGTAAAAGTCTCTCCGAAAACAAAGCATGTTTTCCATCCATTTATCTTTCAGTCATTGGGATCCATTCGTAAAATACAGTGTTATTATATCACGGATTTAATAATGCCCATAATGGGGGAAACGTAAATCGGAGGATAAAGCATTCTTTCAATAGATCTCATGTTATACTGCTTATTTTAAACAGACGCCGCTGTGAGACGACGTGATATGGCCGTAAACCTGTAGAGAGAGTAAGAGATTCACAACCAAATCCACATTATGTTTCTAGTCGACTACGTTTACGTGCTCCAAAATCAGTCTGGGTTACATATTTATATATAAGGAGAGTTCTACCTGCGGTTGGCGGGAGTAATTCAATCCGTTTTGACTACGCCCCCTTAATTTCCCTTTATATAAGAATAAATGGGCCGCTTCGGACTGTAATGGATAACTGTTCGCTATTGTTAATCGCAAAACAAAGATCCAATTCCCACTGCGTTCGTTATATTAACTTACGAGCAAATACACCCGTGAATGGTATGGATCTACCTTTTCACTCCCCCAACTACGGGTTAATTAATAAGACTTGTATTAATAAACCCTTATTATCTTCTCCGCGCAAATCTTTACAAGCTAAATATATTTTTGACATTAAATAACCTGCAAATCAATGAATTAATAATGAATATATAAATTCATTTTTAATCGACATTTTTTTTAATTCAAACGTTATTAAATTTTCCACTTTGTATATGAAATAGACGCCATATTTTTATTTAGTAAGAAAAGAGTAGTGTGCTTATCTTCTTGAGCAAAAATGGATTGTCTATCCCAAATAATGAAGTGTCAAACATAATAATGTAATATACATTATATAATTTGTAATATAAATGACGGCTTAAAAATAAATTCATATAATATTTAGAAATTCGTTTAACTTTCGAGTATGAAGCTAAGCAATTATGAGTAAGACGATAAACTACATCCAGCAGCAGGCTTTTGATTAGGTTTTGAGGAGCAAGGAACCACCTCTTAATTGCTGATGTTCCCACGTCCACACTGACCCGGGGTGGTAGCACCTGTCAGAGTCCCAGCTATGGGCAAATAGTTAAGCTCCTCCCAAACTGGGGTCAAAACATTATGAAAGTATAAAAATAGGTTTTAATATCAGCACTACATTTTTGTAAAAAAATATTACCAGCAATATATTTTTGAAAAAATATTACAAACAATATAATTTTTGGAAAAAAAACATTACATAACCAATAAATAATTTTGTCGGCAATAAATGATTAAGATTGTTATAACGTAAAACAAACCACCAAACTAAATCAATTATAATTTTTCGAGAAGAATCATGGTGAAGAAGATATGCTTTCGTTAAAAAGGAAATAGAGCCTTGTTTACTGTAAGGGGCTTTGTGGCCGAGCGATAAAGCACAACGGATGAAAGGGATGATTTCCTTTGCCGAAGATAATTTCTTCACTAAGATTTCTCGAATGTGCGGTCCGATTGACGTAATACACACTGTTTAATAAATAAAATGTGGCGCCTATTTCAAATACATAATGTTAAATGTAATGACATTTGAAGTTATAAAAATACATATATATATATATATATATATATATATATATATATATATATATATATATATGCGTGTGTGTGCGTATAAGCGTGCGTGTGAGCGTGCGTCTGGTGGAAGCTTAAGAGATCTCAATTCACATATATGTGACAGCCAAAATAGTTAATCGGATTTGAACTGAAGGAGAAATAAAGCCAGTATTTTCCAGATATTTTGGGGCTCATTCTCAGATTGCCTATATATATATATATATATATATATATATATATATGTGTGTGTGTGTACATATATATATATATATATATATATATATATATATATATATATATAAGGCTCAACCACTAATATTCCATGGTAAGCAGGGAATATTAGTGTTTGAGCTTTTTTATTATATATATATATATATATATATATTATAGGACTAATATTATCAATATGGCGTTGAATGTAGAATAACATAGATTCAACATCATGATTTGATAAGGCACCAGAAGTGTTGAAACAAAATAGCTATTTTTGCGGTGATTTTATAACATTTTTATGTTATAACTTTCGAATAACTGATTATATTTGCTCTACTCTGTATTGAGCACTCTTTAAAGAATAGTATTTGTTGGTTATTGGAATTTATTCCGTATACACAAGCCTATATTTGATATATATATATATATATATATATATATATATATATATATATATATATATATATATATGAAAATTTCTCCGATTTAATCGGTAGAAGACAATATTTATGAATAAAAATGACAATAGGAAATTACCAGTTTTCCTATTGTCATTTTATTCATATATATATATATATATATATATATATATATATATATATATATAATCTTATTATTATTTTTGTTATAAGAGATTATAATAAAAATATGTTACAGTTTTAGGATTGTACTTTTTCATGTGATGGTAAGAAACTGGTGATTAAATGATTTTTGAGAAAATTTTATAACAAAGTGTTGCCTCTTTTCCGAAAGTTAATGTAGGTGGAAATAAGGTCAGAATTAAAATTAGACTTGTGGGTATGTCATGATTAACCAGTTAGATGTCGAATAGAAAAGTAAGCTCAGAGCTTGCAGCTGGCTGTGTTATTTTTCCATGTCATGATAAACCGGAACATAGACAGGAAATTTGGGAACAAGCATTGACAATTACAGGAAAATACGTAAGCGGCAAATGTATCAGGATTCTAGACAATTGTAACATGTTCAATTTTTTTTTTAACGGCGTTGAAAGGAGGCGTAAAATATTAAATATTCTGAGTTAACAGAAAATGTTTTGATATAAATTTTAGATTCAGGAAGCATCTTAAAGGGGCCTGTAGATAAAATAAAAAATGTGGAACATCTATATAAGATATTAATAATACTAACTGGATGGCAATGCATATCAATATTTAAGCTGAATAAACAAAATATGGTAATTACACGTAG